AAATCCAGCCTCAGATGCTTACTAGCTGTGTGACCCTGAGCAAGTCACTTAACACTGTCTGCCTCAGTTTCCTCATCTGTAAAATGAGCTGGAAAAGGAAATGACAAACCACTCCAGCATCCTTGCCAAGAAAAGCCCAAATGGGGTCACAATGAGTGAGTCACGACAGAAGAATGACTTCAGGACCACAACAGAGGGCTTAGTACAGTGCCTGGCACATAATAGGAGCATCATAATGTTTACCAAAAAAAAAATCAGATGGGTAGGTTTAAAATCTGCACTGTAGGACCAGCTAGGTGGCGCAGTAGATAGAGCACCGGCCCTGGAGTCAGAAGTGCCTGAGTTCAAATCTGGCCTCAGACACATAACACTTACTAGCTGTGTGACCCTGGGCAAGTCACTTAACCCCATTGCCTAGCTTCCCCCCAAAAAATAAAATCTGCCCTGTAGGAGAAAGTACCCACAAATATGTAATCAAGGATACACTGATGCATGCAAGCTTAAAAACATACTCAGCATAAGAAGGAAATGTCAGATACGTTTATTTTATTGATACATTTAGTTTTAAAACAGCAGACACATTGCAACAAACACACAACCTCTCCTCAAATACTTTGTCTGAAAACAGTTCATCAAAATGGCTTGTTTTGGGTTTGTGACCAATAAACTATGTTATGTTCTAATATTGTAGATTTAAAAAGTACATTTGAACTATTGTGCTATAAGAAATGATGAGCAGGTGGATTTCAGAAAAACCTGGAAAGACTTAAATGAACTGATGCTGAGTGAACAGAACCAGGAGAACACTGTACACAGTAACAGCAACATTTTGTGATGATTAACTTTGATAGATTTGCTCTTCGAAGCAATACAGTGATCTAAGACGATTCCAAAAGACTCATGATGGAAAATGCTATCAACTATGGAGTCTGAATGCAGATCAAAGCATACTATTTTCACTGTTTTTGTTTTTTCTTTCTCATGGTTTTTCCCTTTTGTTCTGATTCTTCTTTCACAACATGACTAGGGTCAGCTACTTGGTGCAGTGGATACAGCACCAGCCCTGGAGTCAGGAGGACCTGAGTTCAAATCTGACCTCAGATACAGGATATTTACTAGCTGTGTGGTCCAGGCAAGTCACTTAACCCTGATTGCCTCAGCCCCACCCCAAAAACAACAACAACAACAACATGACTAATGTGTAAATATGTTTAATATGATTGCACATGTACAACCTATATCAGATTGCTTGCCATCTTGGGGGAAGGGGGAGAGGAGTGAGGGAGAAAAAAATTTGGAACTCAAAATCTTATAAAAATGAATGTTGAAAACTACTAAATAAATAAATTTTAAAAAAGAAAGTACATTTGAGAAAGAATTCCATTAAAAGTTTAAAAAAATTTTTTTAAAAAAGTTCTGTTGCCTAAAGGAAAAAGTTTTTTACTTAGAAAAATCAATTTCTCATTATTGACAGATAATTAGCATTTTTGTTTGAGAAGCACTTTCAAGTATACTAACATGTAATCTGCCTTGGGCACACCATTTTAGGAAGAACATTGATATGCAGAGAATATCCAGGGTAGAGGGATCAGGATGATGAAAAGTTCCCTACAAGGGCTGATTAAAAGAATTGGCAATATGATGTCTATATGTTGGAAAAGATTGGGGGTGGGGGGCAGGAGGGAACTCCTGAAAGATGTCTTTGAGTATTTGGAAGTCTCTCATGTGGAATAGTGATTAGACTTATTTTGGCCCTGAGGGCAGAAACTGGCTTGATGGATGAATGTTTTTGGGAAGCAGATTCAGGCTTGATATGAACAAAAGTGTAACAAATCAGAGCTATTATTCAAAAATAGAATAGGCAGAGCTAGGACAAGAGTGGTTCTTCAAGAATAGGTTAAATAACCCCTAGCTGTGGCTGTGGTAGAGGGGGATAACTGGTCAGATATGGACTAGACTAGTTGGCTTCTTCTGTCTTCTGAGTTAGAATTCAGATTTTGTTATTCATTTTATCCCAAGGTTCAGCAATGAGCATTTCTGAAACTATAGGTCTTTGAGTGTGTGCTTGTAGTACTTTTATTGAAAATAAGGTATAGACCAGTGCCTTCTCTGTTCTTTGTACAATAAACTACGTGATTATAGTATGCTAGGTCTCCAAATCTATGAATGCATTGAGAAATGATCTGAGGGAATAAAATACTGCAGTGTGAGAGCTCAGCCGTCTATAGCCAGCAAAGTTCACATTTTAACATTTGGAGTGACCTTCCATTTCATCCTCTATATCAGGGATTCTAAACCTCAGACCCATGGACCCCTGTAGGCATCAAGGGGACCATGAATTTGGATGGGGAAAAAATTACAGCTTTATTTTTACTGACATCTAATCGACATTTATCATTTTCTTCAATTGTTTAAAAACATTATTCTGAGAAGAGGTCCATAGGCTTCACAAGACTGCTAAAGAGGTCCATGACATAAAAAGGTTAAGAATCCTGCCTTCTGTTAAATCAGAACCCCACTAGCAAAGCTTTAACTGAAGTTGCCTCAGAGCCGAATGCTGAGCACAGGTTGCCATGCCGAGGGCGGAGCTTAGCTTTTTGCAGGCTGAGAGCTGACTAGGGGGCCCAGGCTTATAACATAGGTCATATTACAAAATAGTTGGGGCAGCTAGGTGCAGTGGATAGAGTGTCAGACCTGGAGTCAGGGAAAACTCATCTTCTTGTCAAATCTGGCCTCAGACACTGAGTAGCTGTGTGACCCTGGGCAAGTCACTTAACCCTGTTTGCCTCAGTTTTCTCATCTGTAAAATGAGTTGGAGAAGAAAATCCCAAGCCATTCCAGTATCTTTGCCAAGAAAGTCCCAAATGGGACCACGAAGAGTTGGACATTATTGAAATGACTGAACAACAAAGGGTTATTATGCTTGTGCATTAACAAGAACACAGGCCTGGGCGAGTTGTTTAAGTGTGGCACCACCTCGTGGACAACTCAAATATTGCACTCAGATAATTAAATTTGGAGGATGAATAAGGCAGTGACTCCAGAGCTCCCTGCAGGCTTAAGGAAGGGAAAAACAAGCTACAACAAAATATAACAAATGGAGTGAATCTATCCTTGTGTGTTGACTTCTCATTGATTGGCACATGAATCCAAGCCTTGTAAGAATGCACAGCTAAAACTTAGGTCTTATGTGTCCCTACTTCTGGTCCCACTTCCCAAAATAGGGAGTCCCCACTGGTGTCTTCTATTTGGGGTCCTCTCTCCCTACATTAATTCCATTTGATATCTTCCATGTGCATTTCCTTGTTGCTGACATGTATCCTTCCTCCACCTGCCTTAGCTCTGGCAGTCTCATATCTCATCCGCCTCCAGACAGAGTCTTCTTGCCTCCCAACTATAATTTTCTAAATTGCCTGTAATAATATCCTAATGGATGAAGAATATAGGTGCTCCTCAGGCCCACTCAAGTACTTAGACCACAAGTATATTTTAACAATAGGACTTCTAGAGATGATAAATACTAGTTATGTTTGGCAGGTTTTTTCTTTATGATTCCCTTCTGTCATTTCCTTTTGGCAGTTTGGTGAGGCTTCAGAATAATGTTTTAAAATGCATAAAATAAAACAGGATTGTAAAAGAAAGAAATTATATTGAAACAGTTATTAAAATAGTTAAAAAGCAAGTTCATAGACCCCGTATAAATAATTTGGACAGGTGCTACAGTGAGTTGGAATCAGATGTAAGGATGAAATTAGGTGGGACAGCATTAAAAAGTTATACAGTTCTTCCACAGTGACTCCAAACTGCATGCTTCTGCAAAAGAGCATTTCTTTACCAATATTCTCCTTGTGGAGCTATATGGCTACATGGAATGCCAGACCAGTCTTTGGAAGGACCAAAATTACAAGTAACTCAAAATGCAATGAATGAACGATGGGCCTAAGGAAGCAGCAGCCTGTTACTAATGTTGGCTTGAGCATGAGAAGTAGCATAAAAGTGATCAAAGATGTGTATATATATATGTATAAATACATATATATATACACACATATATATGCAATTAGGAAAGAAGGCAAACTTATGTAATGAGAATGAAAGATAACAGATGGGATATCAAATGAACTAGCAGAAAACCACCGTTAAATTGGGCAGATCCTTTATGTGGGACTATATATATATATACACATATATATATAGTATATGTATATAGCATATATATATGTAGTATATGTATATAGTATATATATATATATTACATAGGATGAGAAAGCAATGAGGTTATGTTCTTCATCGGTAGTACCTATACCAGTGAAATTGCAGATCCATTTAATTACCTACAGATTTTATCATTCTATAGAATTGACTTGTATAAACTAATATGGATGAAGATTAAAATGTTTAGGTCCACTTAGTTTCGTTAAATTGTTTTTTTTTCTTTTACAAGAGATAACTCTGGGAAACACACATTTGGATACGCAGATATAAAAAACAAGAGACAAAAATATAAAATAAAATGTATAAACCCATAGAAACAAGACTGGGGTTCTATCTAGTCTTGGCTTTGCCACTGAACTTCTGTGTAACCCGGAGCAGTTTAGCTCTCTCACTGCGCCTGTTTCCTTCTCTGTGAATTGAGGGTGTTGAATTACATAGATTTCTGATGCCCCTTGCCACCCAGTCTTGACTAGGCCACTCGGGCTTCAGTCTTTCTCCTTCCCCCCCCCATCACGAGATAACAGGTACTATTACCTCAGCCCCTTCTCGCCCCAATAGGTACGATCGAGGGGCACGAGGCTCTTAGGCTCGCCTGCACGAGCAGCCCCACCTTAAATCTCGCGAGCCCCACATTCACGCCCGTGTTCTCCCATACACGCTTAGGAAAAGGCGCGTGTACCCACCGGCTGATTCGTCATAGAAGGAACAAGAGACAAGGGGAAAAAAAGACACCCAGGTTCTCCAGCCGTTCCATTCAGTATTCTTTTCCCCCTTTGGTTTTGTATTTGTATTTTGTTTCAGAGGTTCCATTCCGTTCTTGAGGACGCAATTGTAAAACCAAGGGGCGGGGCAGAGGTGAATGGCGTCGAATCAGGGTATGCTGGTGGCCACAGGGACTCGCTGTTGAGCGCGGAGGATTGCTGGGGGAATTCGCTAGTCAGTACAGTTTGGGGTGAGGGTAGGGCGATGGGCAGGGGTGAAATCTAGCACTTAACGGAGCCTGAATCGGGGCTACGGTGAGTATTTACACTTCCGGGACTGTCGTTACGCTAAGGGGCTGTGAAGCGGGACCCAGCGGCTGATTGGCTGACTCTGGCCCAAGGGCCGTGGAGGGTAGGCTGAGGCCGCGCACCCAGCCGTGACTGATTGGCTGATGTTGGCCAAGCTCCGCCCCTTCCCCTCGTCTTTTCTTCACCGCGGGAGTAGGGGTGGTTCTGGCAGTATCACTCTCATCCTCCGCTGGTTTGGCGCGGGTCTGAGGCTGAGAGAAGCGTCCACATGCGTGAGACTTCCTGGATGGATTTTAAATGAGCCTTTTAAGTTAGGGCCAGGCGGCCTTCTTGGGGGAAGGGAAAGGGCTCAGCCTTGTCCCTGATTCACCGCGCGACCCTAGGTAGGTCGTTTCTTCTTTACGGCCTCAGTTTCATTAAAAACGAAATAAAACAAAACAACCTGCACAAACGAATGGACTACGGAAGGGGCTTAGTCCCGCGATAAGGAGCCAAGGCCCAGAAAATGGTCAAGTGACAACCCCCCCCCCCCAGACCGCACAGGTAGTAAATAGAAGGTTTCAGCCCAGATCATCCAATTTCAACTCCATTGCCCTTTCTGTCACACCGTGGGGCGTCATACAGCCTCCTTTTACAGAAAAAAAACTGAGGTCCAGAGAAGGCCAAAGTTATATGGTAGATCGATGACGATGTTGGGTCTTCTTTTTTAGTCTTGTGTTCTTTTGCTGGGTCAGGCAGGGGTAATTAATTGCATCCACACTCTCCCCATTAGGAGTTTGTTCAATAGACATTTATTAAGTGCCTGCTTTGTGCCCTGCACTGTATTAGGTGCTAGTGTTTATTAAGTATTTTGTAAACTGCAAAGTGCTAGAGGTTATTGCAAACTGAAACTTCATTAGATTGGGCAGAAAGTTCCAGATAAATGACAGATCCCTGATATTTGTATCTAACTAGATTTCCCATGTGATTTTCCATTAGACCTCTTAAAATACAAGAAAAGGATTTTAAAGTATGCTGCTCACACTGTCATTTCAACTCAGCAGGTCTTTATTGAGCACCTGCTGTGTACTCACTACTGTGTTAGCAGTTATAGTAGATAGAGAAATGCAAGATTCCTGTTTTCAAGGAATTTTCAGCTCTATTTAAAACCAAGGGATAGCTGACTGTTAGGGCTGCTTGTAGAGGGGAATCCTGCATGGAAAGAGATTTTGGACTAGGGGACCTCAGAGGTCCCTTGTAGCTCCAGGTGCCATGATTTAGTGAAACTTGTAGAGGGAAAGAATCTTTAAAAAAAAAAAAGCAAACTGCAAAAAAAAACATTTGGAGAAGTAGGAAGAACCAAGTGAAGGCTCTCTGATATTTTATATTGGAAAGGGGCATAAAGAGGGTCAGAGTAGTGGAAAGGCCACTAGGTAATTTGATTGGGAAAACAGCCTTAGAACTTAGTTATGAAGTGGTTTTTTAACGGTTGTGGCTTTGGCAAGGGAAAGAAACCAGATTGGAAAACATCAGTAGAGGTAGATGAGAGGGACAGTAGACACCTAATGTAAGTGATGTGCTCACATAACATATATGTGAAGGAGAGAAGGAGGAGGCTCTAAGAGATCAACTTGGTAATAACCAAAGTATAATGGTTTTGTATTATATTATAGGTGATATTCCTAACTACTTTTTATTATGACTGGAACTGTTGAATGTTTGGGTTTTAAACATATTTTCCTTTGTTTTTTCAGCTCTGATACTGAACACAATGGATCCTGAACTCTCTGAGGTCCGCCACACTGTACAAGAAGCTCTCCATACTCTTTCATCTTCCAAGGATGGGGTCCAAATATCTGAGGCCCTGAGGTCTGTGAAGGTCTACTTGGATGGAATGAAGAACCCAGTCCTACCCAGAGAGAGGGAAGAATTTTCCAAGATCTACTTTTCTACCTTCCTTCGATGTCTTGTCAGCAAGTTAAGTCCTGATTGGTTGGAACTGCTTCCTGCTGGCCAACTAGAGGAACTGTGGGATAGTTTTTTTCTAGAAGGTCCAGCTGACCAAGCCTTTTTGGTCTTGATAGAATCCATCATTGTTACTGTTGGGTAAGTATAGTTAGCTGGATTTTGTGTTTTGAGATTTTATTTGGTTTGTTCAAGCAATGACATATACAGTGTAAGACATAAAGGGTTACCAGTTTACTGATAATTCTATGAATAATCAGCCATCCTGATTTAATAAACATTTATCTAGTATTTGTAAATTGGACCATTTCTGGCTTATCCTCTTCCAAACATTTATGTGCATCATAGATATATGGAGTGGGACAGTACTAAAAAACAGAGAATTAAATTTTTTTGGGGGTGAGGCAGTTGGGCTTAAGTGACTTGCCCAGGGTCACACAGGAGAATCAATTTGAAAAACCTTTTTTTATCCCTTTTGTCTCCCCTTCCTCTCCTCTCCCCCACATTGGGGAGGAGGGAGGGAGTCCATCAACTCACTGTAGGAAATAGTCTGTTATTTCTCTGTAAGGAAGTGGGTAGTCTACTTCATCATTGGTTATGAGGAGAATTATTAATAGCAGTTCACATTTATTTATTTATTTAGACCTAAAACTATTCATCAGGGAAATTGATTTATAATTTTCTTTCTCTGTTTCTTGGTTTAGGTATCAGCTCCATATTTGTGTCATAAAAGGAGTTTGGGAGGACTCCTTCTTTGCCTGTTTTTCCAAATAGTTTATATAGTATTGAAATTAATTGTTCTTTAAATGTCTGGTAGAATTTACTTGTCAACCTATCTGGCCCTGGAACAGTTCCCATTTATATAGTGCCTTTTTTTTTTCAAATGGGTCTGAGGTATCAAGGGACTTCCCAATTTGGAAACTCCCTCCACCAGTATGAACTAGCAATTTATCTATAATTTGTATTCTTAGAGAAGTGCTAGGGGCACTGAGTGGGCAAGTGATTTATTTACTCGTTGTCACATGGAGTCTTAAAGACTCTTCATTTACAGATGAGACCTAGAAAGGATAAGTGGCTTGTTCCAGATCACAAAAGAAGTGACCGAGCTGGGATTTTAACACTGGACTCTAGGGACACAAAAACCAGTAGTTGGACTAAGGCCTTCCTGTTTCTAAGACCTATTCTTTATCCACTCTTGTCCCACTTAACAACAACCCTGTGTAAACGCCACAGTTTACAAAGCAGTTTCTTCAAGGAACCTGTGGAGTAAATAGTGCAAATATTATCATCTCTATTTTACAAATGAGGAAACTGAGGCTGAGGAATTAAGTGGTTTGCCTATGGTTCCACTATGGTTCTGTGGTTTATCTATGGGTCTCCTGTCAGACTCTGAACACAGGCCTTTTGACTTATAAGACTAGAGGTCTTTCTACTCTACTATGAAAAATGTAGATAATTGTTTTTTCCCTGCAAACAGAAATATTTGCCAGCATTGTGGAATCCAATAATTATCAGAATTTCAGAGTTGGAAGAGATCTTAGAAGTACCAAAGCATGAATCCTGCCTGTAACATTCCTACTCCATGGTTATCCAGCCTCCAGTCTAAGACCTTCAGTGACAGAGAACTCACTACCTTGAGAGGCAGCCCATGCTATTTTTGGGTAGCTCTAATTCTTAGGAAAACCCATATAACATTGAACCTAAATCTCTCTCCCTTTAATTTCTACCCATTGTTTTTAGTTCTGTCCTTCAGGGCCAAACAGGCTTAGTTTAAATCCTCTGGCCCATGAAAACTCAGTAATTTGAAGGACATGGATAATGTCCCCCAGCTAGGTCTCCTATTCTCCAAGCTAAGACCCTGCCCCCTTCCCAGTTACTTTAATATTGCTATGAGAGAGTTTTAAGACTCCTTGCCATTCTGGTTGTGCTCTGGCTCATTGCCACTTCTGGTATGTGGCACCCAAAACCAGTCACAGTGGTCTGACCAGGGGACACTGTGCTGGGACTGTCATCTGCATTCACTTGGACACTGTTGCTTCTGTTAGTGCAGCCTGAGATCACATTAGCCTTTTGGGCTGCTACATACAAAGCTGACTCTTTGAGTTGGAAGTAAAATGACCTAGCTTTAGAAGACTGCTTGAGCCTATCCTAGTTCAGCCATCTACCCTTGAGTCATAATTGTATTTCTAGAGCAATACCATCCTGTAAAAGAAGGCATGCCTAGAAATCACAGATTTCCTAGTTATTTTGTGTAGTAGACAGCTTCTTTGTGGGGGTAGTGTGGCTTCGTGCATTGAGAGCTGGCCTCAGACAACCTGGGTTCAAGCCCTGCCTTTGACATTTTGGCTCTGTGTCCCCAGGCAAGTTACTTAGTCTCTCAGTATACCAGGCACATCTTTAAGACTACATGTTACATAGCAGTTGAAGATCCACATTGGGAGTTTCCTCATCCAGGGGCTCTCTACTCTTCACTGATGAAATCATAGGTCCATTCCAAAGAACAATAACAAAAAGATCCTGTTTTCTAGAGAAGCTCAGATTTTCAGGATTGTGTCATGACTTCTAGCTCAAGCCTCTTAGATTGAGAGATGCTGTAGCCAGTAGTCACCATCTGTGGCCTTTCCTTCAGCTGCTCTTTTGATTACAGTCTGAGCTATCCTCTGATGAAGATGGCCCAGGTGCTCAGCAGGTTCCTGAAGATGGGCAGGCTGGCAGAGCTGATGTGGGAGATGTGTCAGCAGAAGGTGCCCCGGGGTTCGTCCCTTCTCCAGGAGACTCTTCTCAGCAAAGTTGTGTGTCTGCCCGACCACCTGAGTAACCAGATGAAGGAGCAAAGCCTGCCCCTGTTCTTCCCCCAGAACTACTTCCCTCTGCTTGGGGAAGAGATGATCCAGGTGCTCCAGAGGATCTCTGACTCCCTCAGAGGTGAGCATGGCCACTGGATCTCCCTTCTCCCAAACCATTCAGCAGTGGCAGAAGGCAGCTGGGATTTGTTTAGCCATATGTCTGGATTTTAGCCATATGTCTAGATTTTCTTTTGTTGTTCAGTCATTTTAGTCATGTCCAACTCATTATGACCTCATTTGGGCTTTTCTTTTCTTTTCTTTCTTTGGGGGGCTAGGCAGTGGGGTTAAGCGACTTGCCCAGGGTCACACAGCTAGTAAGTGTTATGTGTTTGAGACCGGATTTGAATTTTGGTCCTCCTGACTCCAGGGCTGGTGCTCTATCCACTGCGCCACCTAGCTGCCCCCCATTTGGGCTTTTCTTGGCAAGGATACTGGAGTGGTTTGCTGTTTCCTTCTCCAGGTCATTTTACAGAAGGGGAAACTGAGACAGAGGTTATGGGCACACAGCTAGTAAGTGAGGCCTGATTTGAACTCAGGAGGGTAAGTCTTTCTAACTTCAGGCCTGGCACTCTATCCATTGTACCACCTAGCTAGCTTCCTTATAGATTCCCAGAATAACTTCCCAGATTTACTGGGGAACCTTTATCTTTCCCAGCCTCCATTCCTCAGGGCAGAGATAGTGAACCCCACAAGGGTGAGTTGCTTATATTTTGACCTCTGGACAGCATGGCTTCCATCTTTACTGGTAAGTACTTGATGAATTCATCAGGTCAGGAGAGAGCCAGCTCAGCTCTTCCTTGTTAGGTCCAGGGGAAGCCCCCCTCTACTCTAACAGTGAAAACGTTTCAGCTGTCGATAGTGGAGTAGCAGAGTTTCTGTTCTTTTCTCTTTTCTGTGGCCAGCTTACGTGAGTTTTTATTTACTGTTCCAGGTTGGTTCTTGAAAATGTTACCTACTATGCCTTTGGTAGTTAACATTATTGATGAGTGTTTATTGAATGGACTCTACAGAAGTCATAAAGTCATAGGCCTAGAACTAAAAAGAGCCCTGAAGGCCATCTATTCCTTTTCCCTCCTTTTACGATTGCAGAAACTGAGGTAATGAGAGGCTGAGTGATTTGCCCCACATCACACACAGGTGGTAAGCAGTGGAGATTGGATTTCAACCCAGGGCTTTTGACTGCAGAACCGTACAGCGTAGTCACAGTGTGAGAGGAAAGCAGAATGTGCAAAGTACCAGATGTATGGTGTTGATGGTTTTCATCTCTTTTATCCCAGGCAGGCGTCAGTAAGGTTTGCATGGTGCGGGGCTGTCTCTTTGCGAGCATTTGTGCTCTGGTTTGCCTGGTGTTTATCTCGTGTGTGCATGTTGTCTTCCCCCAGGAGAATGTAAGCTTCTGGGGGGCAGGGAATGGTCCATTTTTGTTGTTGTGTCCCCAGCACCTCACACAGTGCTTAGAATATAGGAGGCACTTAAATACTTGCTTGTTGGTTGATTGTAATACTTGGTCTGTTACTTTCTTTTTCTCTGTAGAGGCAGCTAAGTGATTCAGTGGAGAGAGCGCTGGACCTTGAGTCAGGAAGGGCTAAGTGAAAATCTGGCCTCAGACATTTCCTAGATCTGGGACCTTGGTCAAGTCACTTAACCCTGTTCACCTCAGTTATCTGTAAAGAGGGAATGATAATAGGTCGTTGTTAGGATAAATTGAGATGCTGTTTGTAAAGTGCTTTGTAAAGCTTAAAGCAAAGAGAAGTGCCATCGCCAGCAGCAGCAGCATGGACCTGTGGCACCCCTTTGCCTTGCTATAACTCATAAAATGTTGACATTGGAAAGAATAACTTATGTTTTTGAAAGCATATTGCTGTGTTTGTAAATGAAGATTCTAGAAGTGGATGAGGAAAACTCTCCGAACCTGGCAGTGCTTTTCTTTAAAGGCCGTTGTTTCAGCTCCTGCTTGGTAAGGGGGCTAGAGGGATTTGCCCTTCTTTGATCTCATACTCCCAGGCTCTTCTTGCCACCCCCATGCAGGCTTAGGGGCATATCCCTTGAGAACATAAGTGCTCTGAAGGCAGGGGAATATCCAAATGTGTGACCTCTACCACACAGAACTGTACTTCCTACTTGGTAATTTATTCACACCTGTTTCTTGGGTCCCTCAGGGGCTGCCACTGTTGGTTAGTGCCCAGTGCAGGGCCTTGTACATAGTAGGCACCGAGTAAATATTTGTTGAGTAAATGGATGAGTGAATATCTGGGTCAGCAGGAGAGTTCAGTGGGGACAGGGTGGCTGTTAAGTATGTTAATTTCCCTTAATTCTGTGGGTTTTTTTTCCTACTCTAGGAGGCTCGGATTGTTCCATCTTCTTTTTATCTCAGATACTAGCAAAAGTCTGCATCCACGGGAGACAAAGTGAGTACTTTGTAATCTGGATGACAGGAACAACTTATATTAGTAATTTATTCTTATCAAAGCTCTTGACCATCTGTTATTTGAGTCCATCCTTTATGTAGGGAGGCATTACAGAATCTCAGAATTTGAAAATTGGAAGGGAACTGGGCATCCATCTAGTCGAAATCATACATGAAAGGAATCCCTGCTATAACATACCCAACAGCTGGTCATTGATCAGCCTGTGCAGCTCATAAAAGTCTCTATAAGCTGCCATGGCTAGAGCTGAACTCAGTGCTCCAGGTGAGATCTGATGAGGGCAGAGGGCAGATCCCACAGGACCATCACCTCCCTGTTCCTTCTCATTGAAGCCTACAAGAGAGTTTGGTTTTTTGGCTGTCACGTCACAATGCTAACTTGCCTGAGCTCACAGCTCTCTAAAACCTCTAGGTCTTTCTCAGAGAAACTACCTTCTAACAATGCTTCTCCATCTTGTGCTTCTGATGTTGATTTTTTTTTCTACCTAAGTGTTAGACATTACATTTATTCCTATTACATTTTGTGTTATTAGGTTCAGCCCAGTGCTGTGCCCTGCCAGCCAAGGTGTTAGCTATTCCTCCCAGCTTTGTGTGATAGGAAGATTGGATTCGCATGTCATCCATGACTTAATCCAAATCATTGATAAAATTATCAGTTGCATAAGAGCAAATACAGATCCCTGGGGCACTGCACTGGAGACCTTCCACCACACTGACACTGAGCCATTATCAACTATTCTTTGAGTCACTTAATTGTATTTTTATTTAATTTGTATCTCTTCATCCTCTTCACAAGAATAATTTGAAATATTTTATCAAAAATTTTGCTAAAATCTAAGCAAAGTATCTACAGCATTCCTCTCATCTAGTAGTTTAGTTATCCTGTCCAAAAAAGAAATGAGCTTAGCTTGGCATGAGCTGTTCTTGAGGAAGCCAAGTGGCTCTTTTTAATTGCCTCTTCTCCTTCTAGTTGGTCATTAACTATCTCTTTAATAATTCCTTTTAGAATTTTCCCAGGAATCAAAGTCCAGCTCCCTGGCCTATAGTTTGTAGACTCTCTTTTTAAAAAAAAATCAGGATGGTGTTTGCCCTTGTCAAGTTGTGGTTCTTCTCTCATTTTCTACAATCTTTCAGATGTCACTGATGGGGACTAAGTAATCCTGCCTGAACTTTCTTTTAGTCCTTGAGGGTGTGGTTCATCTGGGCCAGGTGACTGGTACTCTCTTACTATTTCCTTACTTATCTTGGGCATTGGCTTTCTGGCAGTTATTTTTCTTCTGTCATATCTAGTGCAAAAGTCATATTCTTTGGCAGAGAAAACAAAAGCATAATCAGAACTGATCAGTTCTGTCTTCTCTCTGTTGTTAGTTATCACTGTCCCATCCAAGCAAAGGGCTTATCCCTTATTTTATCCAATTCTTTCTTCCAGTATAGCTTAAACCACTCCCTTCTACCCCATTTTGTTGTCCTTAGCTTCTCTCCCCAGCCACAGTTCATCCTGAGCAATGGCCCTCCTGACTCTTTGTATAGAACTACCGTACTCTTCTAGTCATTCTCTGTGGCCTGGCCTAGCTTCCATCTTGTGTACATTTCTAGGGGATCTGCATTAGTTTTTTTAGACAAATCTCATTTTTCCTCTTCATTGGAATTGTTGCACTTTGTTTCTTCGGAATTCCATTCTTGAGTATCTTTTATCCCTCCTGCTGAAACTTTGCCTGTAGAATTTTAGTCCATGGGATCCTACCTGTTCTGCTATCCCCCAGTTTAGGGTTCATGTCAGACCATGCCCAGATTTCCTCTCCTTCTCTATCGCAAACAAGAGGAGGGAGTAACCACTTCTTCCTAGGCTTCTTGGTATGCAAGAAGCAAGTCTTTCCTCTTAGTGAGAATCACCTCCAGATTAAAATTTCCCCTTGTTGTTTCCTCTACCTTTTGAAGGATGAAATGATCACTAAGACAAGTCAGCAAGTTATTAGGCACTCTGCTTTTGAGAGAGAGCTAGATCCAGCAGCTACCTGTGTTGTACTTGAGGTCCTCTGTCATTGCCATATTATGTCTATGTGCTGTCCTGGTGGTCTATAGTATACTCCAATGGCAAAATCATTTTTGTTTCACTCTTTGTTGACTTTTTGCCCAATTATTCTTCATTGTGCTTCCCCTACTGTGGCTCCTGGATTTCATCACATGAGTATACTTTCTTAAAATAAAGTGCTGCTCCTTCCCACTTTTATATATCATGGTTGTTTTGAATAAGATATGCCTGCCTAAAGTCGTAGTTCAGGCATGGGTGTCATCCCAAGAAGTCTCAGTGATACCTGTGAGGTCAAAGTTGCCTCTTTTCAGTTAGGATCTCCAGTTCTTTTGCTTGTTGCCTACATTTTGGGCACTGCTTCTCAGTATTTGAGGCCATGAGTTTTACTTTTAGCTCCTTTCTTGGTTTTTGTCTCCTGTAAACTTTTGGGTGTCTCAGTGCTATTTTTTATTCATGGTAGCTACTCTCTATGTTCTGTAACTTGGGGAATATATGGAGACAGTCTTATTCTTCTCCCCACCATTTTTAGCTTAAAGCCCTTCTGATTAGCTTCTATTAGCTATACTCCATTTCTGTCCCAGGAATCTGCTATTCTTACAATTTAAGTTGGTGTCCAAATCCCATTCTCAGACAATACCTTCTTAGCCAGCTGTGTACTTCCTAAATTAATTTTTCTCTTTTACATCTGTTGCTTTCAGTGAGCAACTGAAGAAAACATAAACGTGCCCCCTATGGTCTTCAGTTTCTTGTCCAAGACTTCATAATTATTGGCAATACCTTTTAGGTTCCTTTTAGAATTAGAGGTTTGAGAGAACTAAGTAGTACAGTGGATTAAAGTGCTAGACCTGCTAGAGTCAGGAAGACCTAAATTCAGATCTAGCCTTAGACACTCACTAGCCGTGTGACCCCTGGGCAAGTTATTTACCTTCTGTCTGCCTCAGTTTTCTCAGCTATAAAATGGGGATAGTAATAACAGCTATTTTTTTAAATTGAGTTTTATTTTCAGTTATGAATTATGTCCTTTCTCCTCTCCCATCCATTGAGAAAGTAAGAAAAACAAAACCCATTACAAATATGTATAGTCACACATAATAAATTCCCTTATTGGCCATGTCAAAAAAGGGAGAAGAAAATATGCTTTAATCTGCAATCTGAGTCCATTAGCTCTCTATTTGGATATGGAAAACATGTTTCATCATGAGTTCTTTGGAACTATGATTGGTCATTGCATTGATCAGCATTACTAAGTCTTTCAAAGTCAATTACCTTTACGATATTGTTGTTATTCTATAAATTGTTCTCCTGGTTCTGTTCACTTCATTTTGCATCAGTTTATACAGGTCTTCCCAGGTTTTTCTGAAACTTCCTCATTTCTTACAGCACAATAGTATCCCATCACATTCATGTATTGTAATTTGTTCAACCATTCCCAACTACCTTCTCCTTTTCCTTCTTGAGGTGTCCTGGAGGATTTTTAATCTTCTTTTGTTTTCTTTAATCCTTTTAAAGCTGCCTTGATTGTCCTTGATCCTGTTCTTCTTTCTACCAGAAAGAGGAATTGGAGCAAGCGTCTGATTTGGAGACTGTTACCTTTAAATTTTACTCACTTTCTCCCAAGTTTTTCCATATTTCTTCTCAAATTCAACCTCTGACCTACTTCACTAGTCTAAAACTGTCTACTCAGCTTTCTTTTTTTTTAACCTAGATCAAGTGCTTTTTCCCCCCAACCTTCTTTCATGGAAGCCAGAACACATTTAATTATATATTATATCACTTTTATAGATGTCCTCATCATTTATTACCACTGATTCGTATTTATTGATATGTACATAAAAAATTAAAGTGCAGAGATTTGAAGTCATTTGCCTGAAGCCATATAGTGAATTAATGGTAGAGCCAAGGTGAGAACCCACAAACGGTTCGTGTGAAAAAGTTTGTAAGGAAAAACTTCCTTACAGTTAGAGCTATCCAGAGGTCGATTGGGCTGACCCTGGAGGCAGGGCTTCTCCTCGCAAGAGGACTTTTTTCTTTTAATCATTTTTTAAAAAGTCATGCTTGCTTTCCATTGATGGCCAACGCTCACTTTTGAATCTTTGCTTGTGGCCAAGATCACTGGAAGTCTTCATTTGGGGGCAAGATGACCAGTTGGTGTAGAGGGGATCCTTGGTCATAGGTAATAGAATCACAGACTTAGAACTAGAAGGGCCCTTCAGGGTCATCTTGTCCAGCCCCTTCGTTTTATAGATGAGCAGACTGAGACACTTTGAAGTGGAATGATGGCTTGGGATTACTCAGCTAGTTAGTACCTAAGAGTGGGATTAGACCCTCCCTGACCTGGACTCAAGTGCCCTATTTGTTATGCCTCAGTGTCTCTTTCAGGTAGGGTTGGATGAAATGGCTTCCAAGGTCCCCTTTGAATTCTGTATTTTTGTGATTCATATCATCCTTATTGTGATCAATATGTGGACCAAGTTAGGTAAGGATTGAAGAGGAAGAGTCCCTAGAAACTTGCTTCACTTTGAATTCCCTTTGAAGTATAAGAAAGATTTACAGTCCCTGCCCCTGGGAAGGACTTCATTTTTCTGGCCTGACTCAATTATATACACATTAGAGGAACCTTCCTTGGGAGACTGACGGTCCAGTCACTTGTCTTTTTGTCTGTTTTCCACTCAGAAGAGATTCTGGGAGTGTTGGTACCCCGCTTGACAGAGCTCACCCAGGCTGACTGCATCTGGCAGAGGCTGAGTTGGCGCCTCATGGAGAGTGTGCCAGATCGGGGTATGGAAGCTGTAGTGTCTGGGCTCATCCAAGAAGCCCCCGGGTAAGAGATCCAGAAAACACCATCCCCACATCTCCAGGAATCATTTTTGTTGAAGAGCATTGGCCCAGACCCTTCGCATGATGATAGTGGTGCCATTGGGAGACCCTGCTGGGGTTGGGAATTGCTCTAGCCGTTCTGCCTGTATCCTTACTACTGCTTTAAAAATGAGAGAGAGAGAGTAGTGGGAAAGAGCTCGGACTCACTTGGCCGATATATTAATTGTATCTTCTTTTGCTTCTTTAGAGTCTACCTCATGTGATTATAACAGGATCCACTGGAGTGGCCGTCTTAATTTTTCTTGTGGATGTTTCTTTTCTGCAAATACTTGTTTGGCAATGGGCTTTTTGTTTGCCTTAACAAAGATGCTGCCTCTGACACCACCTACGTGGCTTTGGGCAAGTCATTTAACCTCTGTGTGCCTTCATTTTCCCATCTGTAAAATGAAGGAGTTGGTCTGTATCAGAGGTGTTGAACATAGGCCTGTGAACTGTGCTGCCAGAACCAAATTGAAGTGTAATTGGAAATAGTTAGCAAAACAAATAAAAGTGCCACAAAACATAGATAATGTTCTTTAATGGTTTTCTTAGTTTGTGGCCTGTAAGATCCTTACGTGTATTTTCAGTGTCCCTCTTTTCCATTTGAATTGGACCTGCCTGGGTTAGATGGTCTCTGAGGTTGCTCCTAGGTCTCAGTTTGTGCCCTTTGAGTTTTTTATGGTGAAGCAACATCTTTTTTTTTTTTTTTTTGCCTAGGCAATAGAGTTAAGTGACTTGCCTAGGGTCACACAGCTAGTAAGTGTTATATGTCTGAGGCCGGATTTGAACTCAGATCCTCCTGAATCCAAGGCCGGTCCTCTATCCACTGCGCCACCTAGCTGCCCCATCATCATCTTTTCTTGATACTTGACCTTCTGCCCAATGACTTTGAGGTGCAGGACCCAGGCAGCCATTGCACTCCAGCATGAATTTCCCAACAAAGGCAATGCTATTGGCATGGAGATTTGTTCCTGACCTCTCCTGAACACGTGGGCCAAAACATAATGAGTGGGAAGGCTGGGAATCCCATGGTGGATGTGAGAGTGCCCCTTTTGGACAGAGGGATTTCTCTGGTGTGGCCAGAGCCCTCAGGTGAACCTTTCCCTTGGTGAGTCCACCATGCTTCTCCTTGGGCCTAATTTATTTCTTCGTAACTAGAGGAGCCGACAGCTCTGAGTTTGTATGGAGCAGTTTCCCTTTGCACGTGTACAGAAATGCTGATTAGCTCATATGACCGCTGTACTATTAGCCAGCTCTTCTGTCTCTTTCAGGGACAGAGTTCTGTCTCGGTTACTGGGGAACCTGGTGATGAAGAACAAGAAAGCCCAATTTGTGGTGACCCGGAAATGCCTGTTGTTGCAGTACAGATACTCAGTAAGATTACATGTTGGACATGTGGCCAGTGGGAATGGTCTCGGGGCCTTCAGCAAGGGGACCCCTCAGTGATTCTGATGAGGGTGGCCTGTGGGTTCATCTGACTGGTCTTGTGGCTTGCTTGTCCACAGGCACAAAACTGCAGTTTAAACAAGTGTATTTCTTATTATCCTTGTTAAAAAGGCACATATTTTTGTGTGACGTATGTATTCTGCTTCAAGAGGTAGTCCAGTATAGTGAATAGAAGGTAGGCCGTGGAGTCAGGAAAAGCTGGGTCAAGTGTTGTTTCTGACTCATGCCAGCTGTGTGAGCACAAACAAATCACTTGTTTCCATGGGCCGGTAGGTGGCCCCCTAACGTTAGAATTTATAGACAAGTGGCTAATCTGCTGGGGGCTGGGGGTGAGGAGTAGGATTAGTTTCCACACTGGGAGTCCCTGGCACCAGTGAGATCCCGGGTGTAGATTTTATTTCAAAGTTAAAGCTAAGCTTTAAAATACACAAATCATCAAAATACTCTAATGGATTGGTAAGGTCATACGTGTGAGCACATCTTCTGTTGGCACAAGTCCCAACACATCTGGTTCTCCTACCTGTACAGTTTTTCTCCATGTTCTCTCATAGATCTTCCATGGAGGTTCTACCCAACCTGCTCAACTCGTGCCTCCTTCTACATCTTTTTTTTTTTTTTTGACATTTCATAGGCACATTTTGTTATTCTGAGGTCTTGCTACATGACTGACCTACCTTTTTTTCCAGTCATATATTTCCTTGATGATATGCGTTCTTGCTTTTGGTCACCATTGGAAGTATATTGCAGCCTACTTTTATGCCTACTCCCCATCTTCTCTCCCTTGATCTTTAAGTCACTCTCAAAAATTACTATGAAAAATATAGCCCCTAAAATGGCCTAGGAAAAACTGTTCATGGTGATCATTTGTTCTGGGGATGGCTTACAGAACTGGGAGAGGGGGATGGCATGGGGAGGTGGAAGATGGTTTACTGAAGGGGGCTGCAGACTGAAAAGTTGCAGGACAACTGTCCTTAGGTATCCAAAGTGTGCCAAAAGCTTTGTAAAGCGTTTAGAACATATTGTTCCTCCCTGATGAGGTCTCACGTTTGTATTCTGCAGTTGGCTGATCTGCTTTATTTGAGTGTTTGATGTTGAAGGGCAGGATAAAATTTTCTGTGCAAGTCTCCCCAGTGTGGGCCCAACTCCCATACTCAGTTTGGATGTTTCCTCCAGTGACACCAAGAGTCATCCATTCATGCCTGTCCATCCTGTGAGCCTCTTGTCTTATATCCTTTCATAACTTCTCCATAGGTAGGCTATCCAGTGTGCTGGGGACCTTCCTTACTTTATTTTGATGTTGAGACCAGTTGTACATGGACAAGATATGACATGAATGTAATGAGAAATAGAGAATCTTCTTTTCCTCCTATGGGGTGAGAAGACCAAGGGGATTAGACAAGTTTAGTTGATGATCCAAGAGTAGATGGAGAAGTCTGTCTTCATTTGTTGAGGAAGTGATTTACCAAAAGAGTCATTGGCAGAATTGAGTCTAGATTCCTGCATTTTTGGTGTTTCATCCATTGCCTTAAACCCATTTCTAGACAGGTATAGGTATGCTAGGCACTTGATTCTGTGTGCCTGTGTATGTGATCACTTAGCCTTCAGGACTCTGTAGACATGGGTGGGGCTTAAGTCCTGGAATTTTTTGTTAGAAATGTGACTTTTGTTGCAGACTGAAGTGCTGCAAAACCTCCTGGGGTACCTGGCCTTGGACAGCCATCGGCGCACCCTCCTCTTACAGGTAACTGTTGTTAATTCCCTTTTCATTCCATTTTGGGCATTGGCAAGGCAGCTCTTCAAGAGACATGTAACCCACAATGCACAGGGAAAACCAGTTTTTCTGAGGAGAGTCATTTGTCTGAGAGTGCTCAAGTCCATTTGGGCAGAAGCACAGAAGGAAGAGGCAGACAATTTGTGCACATCTGCCCAGTGGAACAAAGCTGTTGCTTCTTGTCCAGCTTCTAGCTGGCTTATCAGCTTCTGTTCTTCATATTTATTCTCTTATATCTCCAGTGAACCAAGCTGAGACTGTCCTTTTTTTCCAGTCTGATATTCTCAGATTGTGTGTGTGTGTGTGTGCGCGCGTGTATTTGTGTTTACATAAGACTGTATCTTATGAGAGGAGCAAAAGCGTGGTTGGATGCTAGAGATCATATCTGACCTGATGCCTACATGGACCAGGTGCTGAAGGACCTCTTAGAGACTTGGGGCAGCAGCAGTGCCGTCAAACACTCTCCAGTGGAGCAGCAGCTTTATGTCAGCAAAGCCATCCTGATCTGCTTGTCCCACCTGAAGGAGTCAGAAATAGACCACATCAGGGAAGGTAAGGGAGCAGGGCTGAGTGCAGGCCTCATGTAGTATATGAGTGGTGGTGGGAGGAAAAAACTCCAGCTGACCCGAAAAAAAGGGGGACAGCTGACTTGTTCTGTCTGCGGCATCAAGGGAGATGTTTGGCATAAGAAGTATTGAGTGCAGCTCCTTTTGTTCTGTCCCGCTTTCATTTTAGAGCTGCTGACCGCCATGATGGGAGGCGTGCAGTGCCATATCGAGAGTAGTCTGCCCCAAGTCCGACATGTGGGAATGATTGTAGCAGAGACCATCAGTTCCCGAATCCACTTGGAGGGGCCCCACCTGAAATTCCAGGTGAGAGGGGTGAGGACAGTCCCTTCATAGTGTTTTTTATTGTAATGTAATGTGATTATTCATTTTACTGTACATTCCAGCCCAGCAAATAATAATAATGGTGATACCTTGCATTTCTATAACACTTCTGTCTTTTTCAAAGTATTTTTACATTTCTTTTTTTAGTTTATGCTCATTTCGGCCCTGTAAGGTAGGCAGAAAAGGCCTCATTTTTTCCAAGTGACATGAGGTTGCCGAAGGTAAAAAAAGAGAATGACTTGTCCCAAGGTCACCCAGCTATTTCGGGTCAGCCAAGAACCCAGTTCTCCGAACTCCCAAGCTTTTGCTTTTTCTGCTGTGTCATAATCCTTCCTAGAATTACTTTTCTGGATGTTGGCAGTTTTCTTCTCTCGACGCAGAGGAAACATTATCATTGGCGGAGAGTGCCTAGGGATTTGTTTTTTCTATTCGTGACTTGCTGTGGTCTAGGCCAGTCAGTGGAGAATAGACGGGAAGCAAGGGAGCAGATATGTGTGGAATGGCTAGTGGGGGAGGCCTGAGCATGGGGCTGGATCTGGATTCCACATGAGAACTTGTGAGACTCCAGTACCTATTGAGTCAGTACCATCATGGGACCTCTCCTTAGCTACAGTATTCAGGGTCCTGAAAACCAAGTCCTGTTCCGTGATCCGTAGGGAACTCGCCATGATGTGATCTGTGGGGTTGGCATCATGGAATGGGGTTAGCAATGAGACCCAGCTATACTGAGGTCTTCTAAAGGCTAAATAAATCTGAGAAGAACCGCCCAGACTTTGTGCTGGCTTCACTTTCTCTCTGAATGACTCACCCCCAAGAATATTGTACCTATAGCTTTGTTGAATGAAGTCATCTAAACCCAACCCAGGCTGCTTGGTGGTGCAGTAGGCAGATCACTGGACTTGAGTTCAAATCCAGCCTCAGACATGTACTAGGTGTATGACCCTGGGCAAGTCACTTCACCTCTGCCACACTTTCCTCATCTGTAAGATGAGGATAGTAATAGGACTTAACTCCCAGAGTCATTGTGAGGACAAAAGGAGATAATGTTTGTAAGGTGCTATGTAAATGTTAGCTGCTAATATCATCATCATTATTATTATAGTACGAAGAAAATAAACTGACCAGAGAATTGTTGTCCTTGGTGAACTTGAAGCCTGCTGCTGCCAGCCCTCCAGCTTCTGGGTAATTCATTTCCATGCCTCTTTGTTCCATGTATGTGTTCCAGTTAACACGTTATCATGTTTATTTTAGAAAGTATTCTGTCTTTGAAGTAGTGTTTCCAGCATGGGCATTTAACGTGGCAGTGTGTGTGGAATACACGGGAGGAAGTGAGACCCTTTCTCATAGTGAACTTAGATCATTACCCCAGAGGGAGAGAGACCTGCATTAGATGCATGACTGACCTGCTTTTCTTGTCTTTGTTGCCCACATGGATTCACCAAGCTCCCCTGTTGTGCCAGCACCCGCAGCACAGGCAGACTGTCTGAGCCCAGAGGGCAAAGCACACCAAGAAGAAGAAAAAGACAAGGGGTCTGACTCGGATCTGGACAGGTAACACATCCATATTGCTGCCAGGGAACATATGGTGGAAACACCCACCTTAGGGATGGGTCAGTGGACCGTTTAGACAGCCCTTGTGAGAGTCATATAGTGGGAAAAAGGCAGAGAGCCGTGGGCTGTGATGACGAAAGCAGTGGTGTGTGAGTGTGTCCACATCGCTGGGTAGTGTTCCTCGACCTTGTCTGTTGGCTGCTAATGGAGATAAGAGCTGTGACTTCCAGAGTACTTGTTGATTTTCTCCCTTAATTTTTCTCTGCCAGTGATGATGAACTTGTTCCCTATGACATGTCAAGGGACAAAGAGCTGAAGAACGCCAAGGCTCCAGTATACATCCGGGATTGCCTGGAAGGTGGGAGGTTTCTGTGGGGTTACTTGTCCAGCCTGTGGCAGCTGTTCCCCTTTAGTTCTGTCCTCAGCCTTTTCCCCGGATGCTGCCTTTGACTGACAGTGAGAGGATGTGTTTAGAGTGGACACAGTATCCTACATTGACTTAGTTGTAGGACTCTCTTTCTCTGATGGTCAGGCAGAGCTCCCTGTGTATAGGGTTTGCTTTCTCCATCCTCTGTATCTGTGCCCCACCCACTCCATAGATTTCTTCCTCTTCCTACCTAGTCAATTCTGCTTGGCTCTTAGTGTCTCTGGCATGTGGGCCCTGTGTAACTTATTTCTCCCTTCCCTTCCTTAGCGCTAATTTGGAATAACTGGGATGGTATTGATCATTTGTGTTCAAGTAACGAGCTCCTTAGTAAACTTTCCTACTTCTAGGGCCTTCCCTGCTTTGGGGGAACTGTTTTGTGCCACTGAGCAGTGAGCTCCTTCCTTTACTTAGGTGGGACCATGCTCCTGGAGGTATGGAAGGGAAGCCAGTTCCCACAGCTTGTCTTTACAGATCCTGATGGGTGCATTGGGGCTGAGGGCAGCATATCTCAGTGTGTGCTGTTTTGGTTTCATGCAGCACTGACAAGCTCAGAGGACGTGGAGCGCTGGGAAGTGACGCTGCAGGTTCTAGAGAGCTTGATCAGAAGGAGCCCAGCAGCCACAAAAGAGGTAGGGCTGTCCTGGTGACAGTGACCCTCCCATTTGAGGTGAGGGGCATTCAGATTTCCCGGTGGGGATTGTGTACTGACAGTGAAGAAGGAGCAGATCAGGATCTTTGAAGCCTCATTTGTATGTCAGCATGGTGATATGAAGACAGTAGAAGGATCAGTCTCTGAAGTTTCCTTGTATCAAGGAAGTTTGAATCTGGCTTCTGTTTCTGCCAAATTCGGTTTTAGGTTCTCTGCCATAGACTCCTCTGTGCTCTCCCTTCATCAGCCCCTTGAAGAACAGGACAGAGAAGCAGTCACTGGAAACGTCACCTGAGCGGCGGGGCTTGGGGAGCCAGTAGAGCATCCCCTTTGCCCTCACTGTAGGGCAAGGAAGGAGAAGTTGCTAGAATCCAAGTTCCATTCTTTCATTTATTTATTTATTTGTTTGTTTGTGTGTGTGTTTGTTTTTTGGCCAAGGCTAGAGAATGTAAAGGTTGGTAGGGCATCTAGAATCTAGACTGTCAGTGGCATCTAGAGACTTCATCTCAAGCACACTGAGAGCACTCTGCAACCATGAGGCTTCCAGGGCTTAGCCGTTTTCATTAGCCCAAGAGTCAGAAGAGAAAGGGATCTCCTGGGGTGGACAGCTGGTAGTTCTGATGTCTTTGTGTACTCTGACCAGGTGAGTGCAGAATTAGCCAAGGTGCTGCTCCATCTGGAGGAGAAGACCTGTATGGAGGGGTTTGAGATGTTGCGTCAGCGAGCCCTGGTGGCTGTCACTGTCACAGAACCAGTACAGGTAAGTCCCCACAATGGATAGTATGTCCTTAGAATCTCGATGGTGAACACAATACAGGAAAAAAGTGAGTGTCAAGATGGGGGCGTGGTATGTGGTTTGCTTTTTTAAAAAATTAATTTATTTTGGCATGACCAATTCTTTTTGTTTTTTAAAGGCAATTGGGGTTAAGTGACTTGCCCAGGGTCACACAGCTAGTAAGTGTCAGGTGTTGGTCTGAGGTCGGATTTGAACTCAGGGCCTCCTGACTTCAGGGCCAGTGCTCTATCCACTGCGCCACCTAGCTGCCCCTGGCATGATCAATTCTTGAGGAAATCCTCTTCATCATCTTAGTGATAACTCATACCTTTTCTAAGGGTCCCAATCCATCCCTTTAAGGAGACATTCTAGAATTTTCTAGGAACAGAACTCAGTGGCCTATAGTTTTCAGACTCCATTTCCTTCCCTTTTAAAAAATTTGACATAGTAGTTTCTAATTTCCAGTCCTGTGGCACCTGAAGTAGGCATGGTATATTCTTAGGAAGGACTATTTCTTTCTTTTTTTTTTTAAATACAATTTTATTGATGTCATTTTAAAAATATCACCATAATTTTCTCAAGTACCCTTCCCTCACTAAGAGCCATCCCATATAACAATGTATTTTAAAGACAAAAAGGAAGAAAAAGAACAGGAAGATAATTAGTATAACTGATTAGTACATCAGAAAAATCTGAAAATATGTTCTGTGTGCCACACCACTGTACCTCCCTCCCACCTCTGTAAGGGGTGGGGTGGGGTGGAGTTAGAGATGTCTTGTCATATCTATTCTTTGAGCGGTGCTTGTTCTTTGTAATTTTGCAACATTCACTTTTGATTTTTTTTTTGTGGTTATTCTTCCCATTTATATTGTTGTAGTCGTTGTGTATATATTGTCTTCTTAGATTTGCTTACTTTTCTCTACATCAGTTCATGTAGATCTTTCAATGTTTCTCTGTATTTATCACACTCATCATTTCTAGAGCAGTAGTGTTCCATTACATTCATGTACCACCATTTGTCTAGCCATTCCCCAATTGATTGGCATCTACTTTATTTACAATTCATTCCTGTCACAAAAAGTGCTGCTATAAATATTTTGGTTTATATGGAGATTTTCTGCTTATCAGTGGCTTCCTTGAGGTATAAGTGTAGTAGTAGAATCTCTTGATCAAGGGTATGAACATTTTAGTCACTGTTTTTGCAAAATTCTAAATTATTTTCCATAATGATTGTACTGATTCATAACTCCACCAACAGTGTACTAGTGCTTATTTTCCCATGACATTCACACACACACACACACACACACACACACACACACACACACAGAGATTCTTCCTGTCCTTGAGGTGAAACCTCAGAGTTGTTTTGATTTGCATTTTTCTTATTAGTGATTTGGAATATTCTTTCATAGGATTGTTAATAGTTTGCAATTCTTCTTTTGAGAACTCTGTGTGTCCTTTGGCCACTTAAATCTATTAAGGAATGGCTTTTGGTCATATTCAGGCATGTGTGCGCACACACACATGTGTTAATTCTTTATGTATCTTGGATTCAAAACCCTTATCAGAGAAATTTGGTGCAAAGATTTTTTCCACGTGACTGCTTCCTGCAAAGAGCTGTTTCTAACCAAACCAGGAACAAGGTACCTGTCCCTACAGATGTAGAATATAATATAAGCTTGTCCGTAGCTTTGCCAATTAGCAAAAGGTGCCTGAAATTTCTTTGGGTTGTGCAAAAGTATTGGATTGTGATTTCTTTTTCCTGCCATCTGTAGGTTGCACAGTATCTTACTTCCCAATTCTATGCCATGAATTACAGCCTTCGGCAGCGGATGGACATCCTAGATGTAAGTGGTACCCAGATTTCTTTATGTTCTCCCCTATCAGCTCCAGAAGGTATGAAAGTAGTATGTGGGAGGAGCAGATGAACAAAATAAATGAGGCAGGCATTAGGGCATCTCTTTTGAACTCACTGGAGGGCCAGGTGGTAGATGTTGTCAGAGTCCAAGTGGGCAAGGATCAGGACCTCCATGAGGACTTTTGCAATTAAAATGGAGAAAAATAAAAGAAGGTTTTGCAGATAGTGGTTGAAAAGTGAAAGAGAGAGGGGGCAGCTAGGTGGCACGGTGGATAGAGTACTGGCCCTGAAGTCAGGAGGACCTGAGTTCAAATCTGGCCTCAGACCAAACACTTGACACTTACTAGCTGTGTGACCCTGGGCAAGTCACTTAACCCCCAGTTGCCTAAAAACAAAAAATGAAAGAGAGAGCCTTGGAGTCGGGAAGACCTGAGTTCAAATGTGGCCTCAGACACTTGATACTTACTATCTATGTGACCGTGGGCAAGTCGCTTAACCCCGATTGCCTCACCAAAAAAAAAAAGTGAAAGAAGATTTAAGAGTGGGAGAGATGGGTAATTTTAGATTACAATCTTAAGAGAAACAGGAAATGGGGCATCCAGTAGTGCTATGCCATAGTTTATTAGTTCCCCAGGATTCCCTTAGGGATGGGAACAGTAGGGGGGAGAGTGGGGAGGAGCAGATCAGTGAGTTGGGTAGTAATGTGAAGGTGCCATGAAAAAAATTACAGCTCCTTTTCTGCATCTTCTCCCTTTTCACCTCCAGTGGCAAAATATGATGCCAGAGTAGGGTCACACTAATGGTTCTAGAGTTAAAGTTTTGTGTTCTCACCGATATTTGGCGTCTTAGAAGTAGACAAGTTTCTGGAGAACAGATATTGTATCTTATATGTAGCTTGTCTGGGTTACTTTGCATCCTTGATTGCGTAACATGTTAATTTTTGGAGATGAATTTTTCCCTTTGGGTCTGGGCATGGGTGCTTTTGGACTTGGTATTTGACTCTTTAAAAAAATTTATTTAGTATTTTATTTTTCCCCAATTACATGTAAAACTGTAATTCTCGAATTACATGTAAAAACATTTTAACGTTAGTTTTTAAAGTTTTGAGTTCCAAAATTTCTCCCTTCCTCCCTTCCCACCCCCCTCATTGTGAAGACAGGCAATGTGATATAGGTCATATGTGTGTATTGACTCAACTTTCATTAAAGTTGTTCTAGTCTCAAAGAGAACAGTAAATCCCCTGGGGTGCTCCCTTTCTTCCTAGGTGTTGGTTCTTGCAGCTCAGGAACTGTCAAGCCCCAGGAGCCTAGAAAAAGCCAAGATCCCTGGTCCTCCTGAGCCTGGTGTCCAGCTCTTGCCTGCCCCACTGACCCCCCAGTCTCAACAAAGTTCCTTCTGATGACTGGAGGAGAATCGTGGAGGAGAGGATCAAAAACAAGACACGTCGGTTTGCCAAGGTAGAGCCGGGACCTGGGGGTGGAGAAGAGGGCCCCCGAGCTAATCTGCGTCCGTGTGTGTGTGTGTGTGTGTGTGTGTGTGTGTATCAGGAGCAGGAAGGGTAAATCTGGAGAGTAACATGGCACCGACGCTGTCATTCTAGGATTTAGAAGTTTATAATGTTACAAACTGAGCAATATGATATAGGGTTTGGGGATAGTCATATTTAATTTTATTTTTTTATATTAGAATTTTTAAAATTGCCATGCATCTATATCAGTAGCACTTAGCATCTTCCCTTAAGTAGGCTGGGCTGTCATAGTATATGATCTCTCTTGGTGAAGCATGAGCCCCTAGGGTAGGGGAGGGGGCTTCTTTCTGTCCTGAGTAGCTCCATTTATTTTGCGTATTTTCCATTTGGTACCAATTCCATCATTTGTGGTCTGGTCCTGATCCACAGTGTGTTGAACACACAGGATCTTTGGCATGGACATAGGGCAAATATCATGGGAAATCAAGATGTGAATTTGCAGCAGCAGCAGAGGCTCAGGGCAGGACCGGTCTGGGAGAACCGGCCTTCTGCTTGGCAAGGGTCAATGAGGAGGGGAGGGCATGGGAGGAGCTGCTATTTAACCCTCATTCTTTATGGCAGGGTTCTTCCAGATCCAGCACAGCAAATGGACCCAATAAGTTTAATTCTGTGGTTGGTTATTTCTTCTTCCCTCTTATTGAACGTTTTGACAGGTGAGTGGGGTGCCCTGGATACTTGTGTATTAGGATGAATGGGAGCCGGGGAGGGCAGACTGTTGAATTTAGTAGAGTCACCGAATGGTGACCAAGCACCTAATGTGTGTAAGGCCATGAGCTCGGTGCTGATGCAGAGGTGAGTAAAAAACTAGCTTCTGCACTCCTGTGGGTGGTAGTTGTCTCCTTGGCAGAAGAACACTGTGAGACTCATTCCAGAGTTTGGAGGCCTGGTGCTTAGGTCACTGGGCAAGACTGGCATCAGCTCCTCTCTGCTACTGATGGAGGGGTTGCTTGGACATGTTAATAACAATACTTTATATTTTTCAAAGGGTTTCACATCTTATCTCATTTGATCCTCATAATTATTCCCTGGATATTATCTTAGTTTGACAAATGAAGAAACAGACTAAGAGAGGAGGCAGAATGACTTGCCGGCTGTCACTCTTTTGGTTAGTGACAGAGCCAGGCCCAGAATACAATACGTCTCCTGACTTGGAGGGCCTGCAGCCTGCTGCAGAGGATAAAGGGGGGGATCTGGAGTAGTCAGGAAGACGTGGGTTCGATTCCCTCCTCTTACAAATGCCTCCTACCCTCTGAGCCTCGATTCCCTCATCTGTAAAATGGGAATAATACCTGTATCACCTGCCTTATAGGGTTTGGTGAGGCTCAAATGGGATAAATATGTGCAGTGCTTGGCACATTTTAAAGCATTATATAAATGCTGGTTATTAGTTCCACTCTGCTGTGCTACCTTCATTTCACCTGCGTGTGTTTTGTTCAGCCACTCTGTAGCCCCTAGTACAGAATACTGCCTTCTGTACACACTTAACAGAATCTTTGGGAGGCCAAAAATATACAAAGAAATCATTTCTGGTGTGGGCCAGATGCTACTGTGAACACTAGAGAAATGGACAGAATAGTGGAGAGCAGGCTGAGCTTCTCTCAGTGGGTGTTCACTTTGTTGGCCCTAATACAATTGTGTGGGAAATTAGGCCACCAGAGGGCCTTATTGGTTCATCCCTCTTCAAGTTGTTCAGCCCTAAAAGAAGGAATTGGGTGGCTGTGAGTCTTTCTCTTTTTTTGCTGCAGATGGTGTGGGTGTGGGCTCTGATGTGGTGCAGAAAGCTCAAAGGTCCGGCCTTGGGGTAGCCTTCTCATTTTCTTTGCCTCATGTGATAGAGGAGGCAGGCTTTAAGGAACTTTACTAGAAGAGTTCCCAAGAAAAGCCAGTTGCTTCCCCTTGAGTGGGTCTAGAAGGGAATGGACCTGATATTTGGAATCCAAATTTAGCCAGTTGAGATATTAGAACTCACTCACATGAAAACTCTGTATTGCAGGCCGCTTGTGACTTTTGACCTTTTGGGAGAAGATTCTTTGGTCTTGGGAAGACTAGTTCACACCGTGGGAATCCTGATGTATTTTGCCATTAATACCACAGTAAGTAGAGAAGGAGGTATGAGATCTGGACCTGTTCTTGTGATTCTTAGAACTTCTGCCTTCATCAGATGAATTGGGGAAATGGAATTACAAGTCCTGATCAATGGATGGATTGAGGTTTTAGCTTCCTCAGGAATAAAGTTCTGCTTGAAATTTGACTAAAAGTAGGTATAGGATGCCATAGTAATAGCATGTAAGAGCTAGGAGGGACCTTACAAATAATTTATCCTAACCTTTCCATTTTGCTGAGAATAAACCTAAAGCCCAGGGATAGTAAGGACCTTGCCTGAGGTTAGTCTGATCCTTGGACTGGACCAGGAGTGGTTTCGTTCTGAATTCCTGAGTAGAGGGCCACAAATACAGGTGTTAACTTTTATCAGCTCTCTAGTGAGATTCTGTTACTATTCTGGAGCCTTACTGGCCTGTTAATGAATCCAGAGAACTGAATCAAAGGCTAGAGTCTCTCTGTAGAGGTCACATTTAATGTTTACCTTTTTCATGCCAACTCCACGAGGTGGCACACGTCCTAACAGCTGTGGTTTGTGGTTTCTAGGCAGCTGTGCCAATGGGGAAGGCATTGTTGGAGTTTGTGTGGACGCTTCGTTTTCATACAGATGCGTGAGTGTGCCTTCTGGATAGATCTCTTCCTGTCTTCGAAGAATATTTATAGGGCACTTGAGATACGATGAGTGGTTGGGGAGAGAATTCTTTTGTGGGGGGCAGTTTGGAATATAAGTGAGCTTCTTAAACATCATATCATCCTCTTCCAGAAGAGAGAAGTATGCTATCAAGTCTTCAAAGGGACTGAGGTAGATGAGGAACAGCTAAATCTGGGAAGTTCAAGAGGCACAAAGTATGGTGATTCCTGATCTCTTTAGGGGTCCAAGTAGAGACTTTTACCAGGTGAAGGGGCTGGTAGCCTGCTCTACTAAATAGATAGAAAAGTTCAGAAGCCTGTATCCAGCCTAATGATAAGAATAAAGCTGTTGGAGTCAGCCTTAGTGGACAGTAAGAAATGTCTCTGTTTAGTAGAAATCTACCATTTCTGAAGGGCCTTCTTGTGTGCCAGCCACTTTAGGACACAGTGATAAAGTTTTTATTTGCTAGGAACTTGTCTCCATCTGTGCAAACCTGACAAAGGTAGCACGTGTAGCAGGGGCAGAGGGAAAGAAATTTGAAGTGGACCTGATTCATCTGTTTATCACTGTGTGGTAGATATGTGCGTCAAGGCCTCCTGTACTCCATCTCCTCGATACTCTGGAGTGTTCCTGCAGAGCGCCTTCTAGGGGATCTGACGGATGAGCTCCTAGAAACCAGGTCCTGGCTGGCAGGTGAGCCTCACTGTGATGACTGAACCCTACCTGGCAGAGGAAAGAAGGTGACCGTGAGAGGGGCTCTTTATTGCACAGCAGTCTTCTGGGAAGCTGGAGGTCTGGGTCCCACAAGGAGTCACAGCCTGTGGATCAGGGTAGCTGACTGAACAAAATGCAGCAGGATTGAGCTGTCAGTGGGGTGAAAAAGACTGACTTTTGAACTCAAGTGATTTGGTGATAATAGTAATAACTCAAATTTGTATAGGACTTAATAGTTTATAAGGCATTTTCCTCCTAGCATCTGTGTGCGACAGTTAGTGTAAATGTTAATATCCCCATTTTACAGCTGAAGAAACTAAGCCTTAGAGGGAAGTAAGTTGTCCACAGTCATCCAGGAGTAAGTACTTTTCTTGATCCGGGTCTCCTGAGCCTTTCCCATTCTATCATGTTGTTGTGGTCCAGTTCACACAGGGAACCAGCACACAGTTTTCATAGCCACATTCAGACACACGTGGTCAGTGCAAGGTAACAGTAACTACTATAACACTGGCTTGTACTGAGTACTTATGTTTCAAAGGAATAGGAAGTTCTGAATTCCTTATTATTGCTGCTGTTTAAGGATTTTGTCAGTGAATGTTTAGAGTTATTTCCCAATACCATGGGAAGGTGGAAAGAGTGGTCCTTCCTAGTCTGCTCATGCGGTACCTGTGAAGAGGGAGGCCCTGAATTGACACACTGCTGACTTTGGAGAGGAATTCTGGGTGGGTCCGCAGGGCTTCCTTCCAGAGCAGCAGGACATGGCTGCCTGTCACCACAGGGAGTTTGTTTCCAAAATCTACACACTGGCTCTGACAGGCCAATATTTTTGTATCTGTATTTCCCTAGGAAATTCTTAAGCCAATTCAATGATTTGAGTGACTTAATGAATCACTTTAGAAAGTTAGTTCAGAATACATGATCTATGAAGAATGATTTTTCACATCCAGGCCCCCAGACTCCACAGACCTCAGTCCTAATGCACAGAGATAGATGCTATGCCAGTGTGATTCCTGTTGCCCTCTTGGTGTTTTATTTTAGAAAAAACAAAACGGATCAAGGATATTTAACTTAGCCTTAATGAATAGGGCTTAAGAATTACTAGCTCATTTTAGGTGGCTCACACTGGAGCCTGTGGCTAGCATGCAGAGAAAACTCTGGTAGCTGATTTCCCATGTGTCTTCTCCCTCACTGAGGAGAGAGGAGACTGAGTACATCCTCCACAGATTTTCTTAACATAGACAGCCCTCCTGTTCCTTCCTCCTCTCTGTCAGTCTCAGATGGCTGTCTGTAGAAGAGGTATTCTAGTCCCTGAATCCATTGTTACCTTTGTACATTCTGACTTCCCTTGGTTCAGCGTGGCCCTTTCCCTGCATTGATTTAATTTGTTCTCATAAAATTTGTTCTTTGCAAATGACAGGCTTCCTGCCAAAGTTCAGGGGAGGGAATTCCCCTCTTATTCTTGGCAGGTATGGAGCCACAGCATGACTAAGGAGCATTAAGGGAGGTGGTGGGAAGACTCAACTTCTCAATTCATGGCTTTTTGGTACTGCCTTCCTTCCTCTACAATGCCCAGAGCTGTGGCAGCAGGTTTGGCACCAGCATGTGAGGCAGAGCCTTCTCATGGAGCAGCTCCAGTTAGTACGGTGGCAAGGAAAGGGCACTGATTTCATTTAGAAGATTGGACTTTAAGTCCTGGCTCTGACACTAGCTGGAGGATGTCAGGCAAATGAAACTTACTGTGCTTTAGTTTACTCAGCTGCAAAATGGGGATAACAAGTTATTATGTAGTTCACATTGTTGTGGGAAAAGTGCTTGTAACCCTTACAGCACTATGTAAGCATGAGTATCATCTTCATCCCCATGACAGCAGCACAGGAGATAGGAGCATTAAAAGGACATCAAGGCACTTTGTAGCTTCAATGAGGACTCTGGTCCTGGTCTTTTGCTTCCAGGTTAGTGTTGAGCTGGGGTCAGAAGGCTGGAGCTAGACTGGCAGAAGTAATCCCACTCCCTAGCATGTGTCCTGGCCGGGCAGGACCCTAGGCCGTGATGGGAGCACATGGCCTGTGCGCACAGGATTTCCTCTTGTGGCCTCCCTGCTGTTCCAGTCTCTCCCCACTTGGACATCCTGAGTGCATCCTGGTTTTTACTTTGCCAAACTCATTAAAATCCCATGAAATAATAGCTGCCAGCAACGATTCCCATGCATAGCTGCAGGTCTAGGAGATGAGTGATCTTTGTGGCGAGGAGTTAAGGTTCTCCATTTTATCCCAGATTTCCCTGGGTAGGTCCCCAAATTGTATTCCTTGTTCGTATAAGAACAGAAATAGTACCTGTTCTCTTATTGCTCTCAATAAATATTTGAAGGGCCTACCATGTGCCCATTGCTTACAAAGTCTGAGGTAATAGAGGCATCATCCTGGAAGGTGTCAGGTCTCTTGAGGTGGGTATAGAGGACCTCCACGGCATTAGCACTGACTTAGTGACCTGAGCCTTCCACATGCCAGTGGCTGAGATGGCAGAGTTCTCCTTCAAGGATAGGTACTTATGTCTATACTTGACCTGGAGTCAGGAAGACCTGAGTTCAGATCCAGTCTCAGATGCTTGCTAGCTGTGTGACCCAGTTAATCTCTACCTCAGTTTCTTCAACTGTAAAAATTAGCACCTATCTCCTAGGGTTGTTGAGGATGAAATGTGATATTTGTAAAGCTCTTTGCACATCTTAAAAGTGCCGTATAATCATCATCGACAACCTTCTACACAGTCAGTATTCAGTAAATGTTGACTAACTCTTCCCTCAGAACAAAGTTAGCTGCTAACTTTCAGGTAAAGTTCAGGACTGTTTGTTTTAGTCGAGGCCTCTGCTTTAATCTCTAGTTAAGACTGACGAGATAAGAGAGAAAGCTGGTTCATGGAAAACTGCAATTGGTAAAGCCTGCTCAGTATCCCACTCAGAGGAACCTTTCTTCCACCAAATAGCCCCTTGACTGCCGAGGAAACTGATAGCTGGAGCCCTCTCCCTAACTCACATCACTTGCTAGAATTATCATGCCCTTTCTCTGCCCTTGTTAGCACTTCCATGAAGGCAAGTAGGTTTGACTTCTTCTTTAGTTAAGAAGTTATAAATCCTTCTTTCCAAGATGGTTCTCTTGGAGTCTTAGAGACACACAGGGTTAGTCATAGAATGCATGTAATTTCCTGCTAGTCAGAGCCGGAGCCGGGGCAGAGCCAGAGGTCCTCGTGGGCTCCTTTCAGACTTCTTCAAATTGAGCTGTGATTTTCTGAGGGGAGCTGCCCGTATTCAGAGGAGTTATCTGGGCTTTGTTTGTTTGTTTGTTTCCTGGGTATCCATCCCTAGGACTCTTGTAGTGCATTTACAAAACTCAACTTCCAGGCTCGCTAGGTGGCCAATTTGCTCATTTTGCCAGTTTTCAAATTAAGAGAGAATATTTTATCTTTGAGTGCTAAGATGATGGATGGAGCCTGTCCGGGATGTAGGCCCTTTCCATTTGAAGACAGAAGTGTCTCTAACATGTAATTTTGTTTCTTTTGCAGCTGTGACAGAGAATGACCCAGATGAAGACTGTAGGAAGCTGGCCATGCAGGCGCTCCTACTTATGGAAAAGCTAAAAGACAGACTCCAGATAGGTTCTTCTTAGTCAATCCAGATGCCCTTAAACCTGGCCCCACAGGTGGACTGATGGGATTTTGGGGCCATCACCTGGCTGGCAAAGAGGAAAGCAGGGAAGGCGTCACTGAAAGCCAGGGAGAAACAAGGGCCTGGCCTGACATCTGGGCTTTGTAGTGGCAGCCAGCTCTGTGAAATACTGATATCCGGTACTGAGTGTACAGATGCAGGAAAACGCAGTAGAGTTGCTGTCTTCCTCCCCTCCCCCTGCACACTGAATATACTATTTTTAGTCTGGCAAGTTTCAGTCTTCAGCTAAAAATACAGCAAGCCCTGTAGAGCCACTGTCTCTGTGCAGAGAATTGGTCACTCATGGCAATAGAAGGAGCCACCTGCATGCCTAAAGGAGCCAGGTCCCGGATTTCTCTTACTGTTTCATTGAATCTTGTTATTAGGGTTGAAAGGTGTTTGGTCATAAAGCTAAAAAAGAAGGAAGGGTCTTGAGACTTATCTTCTGTGAAATTTCTTCACATTAAAAAGCCCCCACAGCCACCAGGCTATTTTGTTGTTAGAGGAACTGAAGGGGAAGGCTGGGAGGGAAAGGGATGGAAAAGCAAGATGAGTCACTTCTGATTCAGGATTAGTTCTCCACTCGAAGAGACCCTCTCCAGGACTGGATCTGAAGATTGTGTGGAGGCCCACCCCACCATCCCCTCCCAGTGTAGACTGTGACCTCCTACCCTGAAGCTGCTTTTCTTCTCCCATCTTCTCTTTCCCAAAGGTACAGCTGTAGGATAGAATAAAGGCTCTCCTCTTTGCTTGCCCACCCCTCTCTCCCCAAGGCAGAGTGCCAGGGTTTTGAAAGGAGTGCGTACATTTAGTGAAGGTGTAGGCCCTGTGTCTGTGCAGGACTGGGCCCAGGCTGGTTTTCCTAAAGTGGTCTTTGCGGAACACCCATGGGGCAAGGATTGCTCAGACTGGATTTGTTGAGGTGATCAGTTTGCTAGGCTAATTTCCTCTCATTTTCATTCCACTGGACATTTGCCAATTTATAGCTATAGCACTCTTCAAGTGTGCTGCAAAGGAGAGGACGTAAGCTTTGTGCCTAACCCTAAGAAAAGAGAAAGGGCCAAGGGCCTCTGTAGCCAGAGCTAGAATGGGGTGGGGGTGGAGGAAAGGATGGGGGACACTCAGCTTTCCACATGTCATGAAGGGGTTCTTGATGGAGTCCTGAGACTCAACACCCTCATAGGGAAACATATTGCTAGACCTGTATTAAAGAAGCTAAACAGGCTGGCAAAGGTTCCCTACACACAGCTGAATTCAATTATCATGAGATTTCTTTGTGTCATAAAATTCCAAGGAAGGGATTCACAGCTAAGGAAACACCAGTGTGGGAAGTAGCACTAAGAGCCAGCCACCCCTCCTCCTGGAGCGCAGAGCCCACAGGGAGATCCCACTGGAGTCACCAGAAGCTTCAGCATCAACTCTGCCTTGTCCTTACATTGGTGTAATAGGTAGAGACCTGGCCTTGAAGTCAGGAAGAGATAGGTTCAAGTCCTGAGACACGTATTGACTGTGGGATTGCGGGTGTGTAATCTAACCCCTGGTGATCTAGGTCAAAGCTGGCAGACTCGCCAGCAGAGGGCCCAGCACAGCCAGAACCAGATGAATGTAACTGGGAAACATTTAACACGATAAAAATGTAATACACCATCATGTTAATTTGTGATTTTCCTAGTCAATGTGTGGCCTACAGGGATCTGTTTCTGTTTGGGTTTGACACCACTTCTCTGGGCAACTCTTAAAACAGTTAAGCTAGAGAGAAGGTGCTACCCCATATTAGTAGGAGTTTCTTCACTTGGGAGTACCTTATACGTATGATGTAGTCACAGGTCCAGTACCCAATTCTCTTTTGTAATACAGAATTGCTTTCACTCTTCACCCCCACCCCTGGTTGAACCCTAAAAGACAATATCACTCTGTTCCTTGGATTTTGGATACCTTTCATCCTAATATAGAAATGTCAGTAGAGAAGCTAAGATTCTGTGAGGACCCAAATGGTATGTATATGGGCTGTGGAACCTTTCATCCAAAGGCAAAGATTTGGAGGCATAAAGGTGTAAAAACAACTTTTTTTAATATAAAATCAGAATTTTTTAAAATGTGGAAATTTGAAAACAAAACAACCACCACTATTAGCAGTCTTCTTTCCCCTCAGGCACTTCCATGCTGAAGTTTCCTAGTTCTTGCTGCAGCTCTGGGTGCCTAAACAAGAAAAAGTTTTGGGTGTTTTTTGTTTTTGTTTTTCTTCCAGCAAGGAATTGCTTTTTCAACTGTAGGAGTACACAGGTAAAGCAAGTAGATGATGCAGATGCTCTTAATGCCACTGCTGTGTATCTGGGTAGTGAGTCAGGAGTCATCCTCCACCTCCTCTATTACTTCCTCATCTACCTCCTTGCCATCTTCCGTACTGTTATGGCGGATTCGCTCAGGCATGAGGCGACTCAGTGGGATGCCTAGTCCTCGATGTACTGCATCCATGGTCCGCTGGTTCACATAGTATGTCAGATTTGCAGATGGAAGCCTCTTCCGGATCTCCTCAAGGTATTTGTAGGCCTGCGTCAAAGACAGCTAGTTATTTGCTTCTACCATATCTACAACAACTAAGGTAGGGTTAGACAGTTATATACTCCAACCACAAATGAGTATCTTCCCTATGTATCATGCTAACATGAGCCAGAGCCAGGAAAACCCCTATTCACCGTAGTAGTTTTGGAAAAGAATTCAGAGTCCTTGATGAATGGGGCAAGAATAGTTTTAATAAATATTTTTGAAATGAATGGAAGAAACATAGTCATACCTAGGAGTTAATGTGAAATGCTGCTTAGCTTTTGTCAAGAGCCTGTGGTGTCATATCAGCAAGTTCTAAGTGTGACACGAATTACTATATCAGACTCAGTGGTTGATGTCTGTTCAGTAATAGCAGTATCACCATATCACTGAAAGCTGCTGAATGAGTTTGAGAACACCGTTTTTACGTATTTGCTTTGACACCCTCCAAAGCTATATTATATACATATACATATATATATACACACACACACACATATATACATACACACATATATAATATATAATAAATTTTCAACAACTTATTTGTACACTGAAACTACCTACTATTCTGCAGATTTTATTATATTTAAAAATAAGAAATCATGCTGCAAGCAGAACTACGTGTATAGGGTTGGCTCCTGAGGGCTTGGATAAGGAAGAGCACAATTATGTAGAGATAACAGAGGCTTAAAAGCAAATGGGAAAAGATAGATCGAGGGCACAGAACTCTAGGGGTTCCTGCCCCACTCCACTAAGGGCCTACCCTAGTATACATATTTGTTCAGGTAAAATAAAACAGCCTTTTAAAAGTTCCCACTTGCAACAGAATATTTACTGAACCTCGTCTGCTGTTTCTTATGGGGAAGAAGTGTTTTTTTCCTAACCAATCAACCAACATTTAAAAAATATCAATGTTATATATATATCACTAGGGCTGCAAAAATTTGAGTCATTATCCCAAAATAAGTTTATAATCTGGTAGGGAATATGACATGCATTTATGAAAATACAGTATGTGTTGACAAAAGCCATAATCACTGAAAGTTTAGGAGAGGAACGTCACTTCTCGGGAGGCAGGACTACAGCTAAGCTTTTTCAGGTGGATGGGATTTATGCAGAGCAGAATAAGGATGTCTGTGTGAACTGCACAAGAAAAGATAAAGTATGAAAGGATGAAGTGGATTCTGGGGACCTCTGGGTAGACCAGATCAAGTACAGTTCAGGACTCATGTAGGACAGTAGAGGGAGATAATATTGGAGAGGTAAGCTAGAAACCAGATCATGGAGGGTCCTAAATGTCTGGATCTCATTTTATACGATGTGGAGAACCACTGAAATTTTTTTTTAAAAATCTTGATAATTTCTGTTTCAATATATCAAATGACCCACAGATATTCCCAAGTGAGTATCCCACACTGTAAAATTCCTGAAAAGAGTTAAACAAAATAATATAAAAGATAACTGTGACTAATAGTACATGTAAGCTCACACTTCAGTATATTTCCATTTGTTAAAAGAAAGGATGAGTGTGTGCTTTATAAATTAATATACATGTTGTTCAATGTTTTTTATTTTTGAGTTTTGTTGCCACTTAAAGTTGTTCTCATTTACATAGTTGTAGTAATTATATATTGGTCTTTTGACTTAGTTTCATTCTTTACCATTTCATAAAATGAATTCATATACATATATATCATTTATTATGACTTATGTTTCTTCATTTTTACATGCCAGTTTGTTTAGCTATTGCCCAATTAGGCCCATAGTAGGTTTCCAATTTGTTGCTTTTACAAACAGTGTTGCTGTGAATATTTTTATGTGCGTAGGTCTTTTCTTATTAATAACTTCCTTGGGATATAAACCCAATAGTGAGATTATTGGGTCAAAAATTTCTCACATAATTTCATCTCTTTTTTTTCATAGATCCACCAGTAGTGGAAAAAGTAGAAAAAGTGCCAGTTTTCTTTCATCCCTATCAGTAATGATTTTTATAGTCTGCCAATTTGATGGGTTTGAGGTGGTATCTCAGAGCTGTTTTGATTTTCATTTCTCTGATCATGGGCTATTTTGAACACTTATTTTCAGAAGTGTTTGCTCATATCCTTTGATATTAGTCTGTTAGCAAATGGCTCATAATACTAAGATTTGTTTCAATTTCATTAAAGATATTTTTTGCAGATATTTGTTCAAGTCTGTATCTTATTTTGGCCGTGTTTATTTGTACAAAAGCTTTTTGCTTTTACAAAAAGTAATCAATTTTGTGTTTTATAATATTCTTCCGTTGTCACAACTATGAGAGATAAAACCTTCCATTTTCCTATAATTCTTTAATAGTATGCCTATGGTAAATTTGTTTTTCCATTCGGAATTTATTGTGTAAGCTGCTGGTCTAAAACTGTTTTTACCATATAGCCAACCAATTTCCCCAGCAGTTATTGCTAAAATAGAGTTCTCTCCCTGGCACTTTGTGATATGAGTTATGTTAAAGATTAGAGTGCTGTAAGCATTACCTCTATGACTTGTTTACCTACTTTCTTCCACTGAGCAACTTTTCTTATTTCTTATCCATTACCAGAAAGTGTTGATAATTACTGGTTTATTATAGGATTTGAAATCAGGTAATGCCAGATCCTCATCATTTTCCTAGATCCTCTTGATATTTTGTTTTTTCTTATGAATTTTTTTTTTACTAAAGCCAGGGATTGGTTTTGCTTTTCTATTCCAGCACTTAGCATAGTGTCTTGCATGTATTTAGTGCCTGATAAATGCTTATTGATAAGCTGATTTGGAAAACCAGAGTAATAGAAGTATATTCACAGGAATATTGGGATACTGTCAGTCAAGATCAATTTCAACTCTCATAATTGTGACCACTAAAACCAGCCAATTCCTTATATAACCTTACCAAGAGGAGGCTACTAACTCAGCACTCACCATTTGGTATTCCTCCATTTGCAAGTAATGTTCAACAAGGAATCCATAGACATCCCCTATCCGGATAGTACTATCCAGATCTGGCTCTTCTAGGAGAAGTTCACATTGCTTAACCGACTCTTTTGGATCTTCTGTGTAAGTTCTGGTGAGAAGAAAGGGTCTTTCTGAATCCCACATTCCTGATAAGGCAGTTCAAGGGTCCCAAATTCCCCACCTGGTTTATAAAGCATGCAAAATCTTACTAGGTGATTGTCCCTTAATTCCCTCATAGGTAAACTCTTAGTCAAGGGTACTTTCCTTATGAATATAAAAGTAATGAGGTGGATTTTTAAACAAACAAACAATAAACAAATCAATATTAACATGCTCATGCTCTTCCTTAAAGAGTATTCACCTCGGAAGACCACTGCAGTCATGCTGCAATTCTTCAAAAAATTACAATCCTTTGAGAGATGCTTTCAGAGCTATTTTCCAAGCCCAATCCTCTGTCCAATCTTTTCTTTTGACCAAAAATGCCATTTGAAGCTCACTTTTCTAGTCAGAACTTGGTGTTGCAGTGGATACAGAGCTGGGCCTGGAGTCAGGAAGACTGGCCTCAGGCACTTACTAGTTGTGTGACCCCGGGCAGTTTGCCTCAGTTTTTTCATCTGTCAAATGAGGACAATGTAACAGGACCTCCCTCTCCAGGGTGTTGTGAAGATCAAATGAGATAATAATTATAAAGCACTAAGCATGATGGCTGGCACATAGAAGGCATTACTATAGCTATTATCAGATTTGCCCCCCAAATCATCTTCTTTCAAAGGATGAACATTTCTCATCAATGAGGATATATAAAAGAATGTGCCACTGGCATTAGAGGTGACTGCCATTAATAACTTGAGCAATGGCAACACTGTTGGAATAAGTTATATGGCTTTAGAAAAGTGATTTATTCAGCAAAAAGATATTAAAAACCCTAGTGCTGGTAGAGGGGATCTCCGTGGTTGTTCTCAATGCCAGCAATCAAAGGATTCCCATTGCACACAACAAGTGGTCAGCCAGCCTCTGCTTGAAGACTTCCACGGAGGGAGGACCTTCCCACCTCCTGAGGCAGTCCATTCTACTTTTGCACAGCTCTGTTTGTTAGGAGGGTTTTCTTAACATCAAAACTAAATGTGTCCCTTTGTAACTTCCAGCACTGCTCCTAGTTTGGCACTCTGGGTCTAAAAAGAACACATTTAATTCTTCCTGTGATTCTATAACATCATGTAAGAAGAATTACCTTCGGGCTTGGATGAATCTCTTCACAAGGGTCATCTTACTTTGTAGCTGTGCTAGTTTGGTCTCTTGCTCCATGGGACTCTTTGCCTTGGCCTTTGAAAGGCACTTGTAGGCCTCGGTCAGTGCTCCATGGGCTTTGTCATAGTTTTGGTATTCATCAATCTCCACCTGCACAGATAAAGCCAACCAACACTTCATGAGGTTTGGTCTCCCATATTCCTATATACCTAAGAAAATGAAAAGAGGCTATGTACCTGAGCACAGGCATCATAAAAGCCAGCCAAAAGGTCTAGGGCCCTCCCTTTGGTATAGAAACTGATGATGTTCTTCATAATCTCTGGTTCTTTGCGCCAGTCCAGAGACTGTAAATAGTTGGCGGCCATGATATAAATTTCTTTTTGCCTAGAGACGCCCGCAAAAAATACAATTTTCTCGGTGTCCCCAGACTTCAGCAGGGCTCTCATGGCCTGGACAAAGACAAGACAACAGAGATCAACGTTAACATGATGGGACCGGGAGATAAGATGACTTGAATGGAAAGTTCTCTAGCTATGCTAAATTCATCAAAAAAAAAAAATCTCAAAAACTGTAGGGTTATTTGTTTTGCCTAGGTAGGGGAGATCTCAATGTTCTGTACTGAGTGAATTGCTTCATTATTCTCCAGCACATCCTGGCGAGAGAGCCACATAATTTCTCACTGATCTTGCAGGAGTTGCCTTAATACACAAATACCAAGAAGCTCTTAACTACTGCTTGCAGAGATGATCCACAGTCATTTCCTCATCACCTAGCATGTGCCAGGAGCTCTGCCAGGTGCAGGGGACACAGAGACAAGGAGTGAAACATTCTGCCCCCAAAGAACTTGACCTCTATCAAGGGAGGCACCATCTACGCCTGGGAACAGAATTACTTGGGGGAGGGGATGGAGTGAGAGGGTCAAGAAAGGTTTTGTGAAGAAAGTGGGACACCCAAGCTGAGTCTTGAAGGAAGTGAGGAATTCTGTGAGGCAGAGAAGAGGAAGGAAGAAAGGTATACATTCCAGCTGAGAGGGATAACCAACGCTAAGATGCAGAGATGGACGACAGAATGCAGGGACTGAGAAATAAGGAGACCAGTTTGACTAGACTAGAGAATGGGAGAGTGGGCTGGAAAGACAGGATGGAGCCAGATGATGATGTTCTTTATATTTTATCATAATGGCAATAGGAACCATGAGAGTTTATTTATTTGGGATGTAACATGATCAGATCTGTGCCAAAGGAAAACACTTTGGTAGCTGTGTGAAGGATATATTGGAGTGGGGAGAGACTTGAGGCAGGGAGGTAAATTAGGAATTGGGCAAGTGGCAAGGTGGGCTTGAACTACAGTGGTAGCTGAGTAAGAAAAAAAAAAGCTTGTGGGCTAGTCAGCTTTTTCTTATTTATATGTGAGAGGCTCTGTGGCTCTCTTCAGTAGCGACCCCCACATCTGAAAGCCCTCTAACACCTCGTGAGCCAGCTCCTCCACCTGGTCAGCCATCCTCCTCCCATGGCCAGCTTTACCTTCAGTTTGTTATGAATATTTTTGTACATGTGGGTCCTTTTCCCATTTGTATGATGTCTTTGGGATATAGCCCTAGAAGGGCTATTGCTGGGTCAAAGGGTATGCACATTTTTGTAGCCCTTTGGGCATAGTTCCAAATTGCTCTCCAAAATAGTTGGATCATTTCACAACTCCACCAACAGTGCATTAGCATTCCAATTTCCCCATATCCTCTCCAACATTTATCATTTTCCTGTTTTGTCATGTTGGCCAATCTGATGGGTGTGATGTGGTACCTCAGAGTTGTTTTGATTTGCATTTCTCTAATCAATAATGATTTAGAGCATTTTTTCACATGAATTTTTTCATTTGAGAACTGTCTGTTCATATCCTTTGACCACTTATCGATTGGGGAATACCTTCAGTTTGTTGCCCGCCTGCGTGTACTTCTTGGTGGCTAAGTGGTAGTTGCCTTGCCGCATGCAGCAGTTTGCGATTTGTTCCAGCAGCTCCCGCCGTGACTCCTCAGAAAGGTCCTTCGAGTCTTTGGAGACTGTCATCTTCTCTGCCATCTCCTCAGTGATGGTCATGTTTTGCTCCAGGCAAAGCTGAAGGGCATCCTGGTACTGAAATGAAACCACAGAAACCAAGACCCTGTTGTCACTGGTGAGCTGTTGCCTATGACAGCTGCTTTGGGGCAGAGGGTGCTCACAAACCTGCCTTAGCCCTCCTTGGGTCTCTGGGCAGGCCTGGGTGCTAGCGTCTCTTTTCAGAAGGAGCAAGTTTTACTGGCTGCTCAGATGGTGACTAACCTTGATGGCTCAGTCTCTGAGGGCTCTGAGGGAAAGGTGTGAGTTGTAGACACTACCAAGGCAGCAATACGCAAGACCTAGCAACATGGTGGGACCCACTCCTGTTCTGCCTGGCACCTATCATGGAAAAGCAACTTCGTTTTCATTGGAGGAAGATGTAAACTGAAGGGTATGGATTTGAATGGAATAAAATAAAATGCCTGGTGAAACAGGCCCCCAAAAGAGGGAAGGGGACACAAATTGCACACATGTGGATGAAGAACAGAGGAAATTAACATATCAAAAGCTAGGAAGGCAAAGGTATTGCCCAACTGTGAATTATTTTCAATGTGGATGTAAGAAATGAGAATTTTTTTCAGTTTGCATAAGCTAATTATGTCTAATAAACCATATGTCTATGGAAATTTTTTCCAGTTCAAACAATCTTTTTTTAAAAAAAGAGTTCTTATAGCTCACTGGCTACCATGTGAGGCCATGACCATAAAGTACATTTGCTTATAGTTGTAGTAGTGAGCCCCAGTAACACTGAGGCAAAGGGAATTTATTTTCTCTTCCTCTTTGTACCTTTAGGATGGAGTCTGCCTGCTACTTCTTTGGATAGCAACCATGTAAGGATATTTGTCCCTTTATAGCAACGAATGAGAATACATTTTGATTGTGGGGTAAAAAGGATGAAACTAGAGTCTGAAATGTGACTGAATCTACAGGGAGGCATGGGCCAGAGGCTAAGGATGAGGGCAGTTCTTATTAATTAATTTATTTTGATTTATCAACAATCGCTTCCATAAGCTTTTGAGTTTTAAATTTTTCTCCCCCTCCCTCCCTTTCCCCCTCCCCAAGACAGCATGAAATCTGATATAGGCTATACATATACATTCCTATTAAACATATTTTCATATTAGTCATGTCGTAAGGAAGAGTTAGAACCAATAGGAGGAACTACCAGAAAGAGGAAACAAAGCAGAAGAAAAAAAAAGCAAATAATATACTTCGATCTGCATTCAAACTCCATAGTTCTTTCTTTGGATGTGGATAGCATTTTCCATTACGAGACCTTTGGAGATGTCTTAAATCCTTGCATTGCTGAGAAGGGTTAAGTCTATCAAAGTTGGTCATTGCACAATGTGGCTGTTACTGTGTATGTTTTCCTGGTTCTCTGCTCACTTCACTCAGCATCAGTCCAGACAAGTCTTTCCAGGCTTTTCTGAAGTCTGCCTGCTCCAGTTGATGGGCATCCCCTCAATTTCCAGTTCTTTGCCACCACAAAAAGCGTTGCTATAAATATTTTTGTACATGTGTACATTTTTGTACATTTTTATGATGTGTTTGGGATATAGCCCTAGAGGGGCATAGTTCCAAATTGCTCTCCAGAATGGTTGGATCATTTCACAACTCTACCAACAATGCATTAGTGTTCCAATTTTCCCACATCTTCTCCAACATTTATCATTTTCCTGTTTTGTCATGTTGGCCAATCTGATAGGCGTGATGTGGTACCTCAGAATTGTTTTGATTTGAATTTCTCTAATCAATAGTGATTTAACGCATTTTTTCACATGACCATAGATGGCTTTAATTTCTTTATCTGAGAACTGCCTGTTTGTATCCTTTGACCATTTGTCAATTGAGGAATGACTTATATTCTTATAAATATGACTTAATTCTCTCTATATTTTAGACATGAGGGAGGGCAGTTCTTTAAATACTGGCCTGGCTTCCTCTTTCTGTTCTCTTGTTTCATATCTGGAGGCTTAGGAGGGGCTGGAATGAAAGTCCTTACCTTCTTGGCTGCCAACAACAGTTCCACTGCCTTCTCATACTGATTGTGCTCAATGAAGAAGTCAGAGCAGCGGGCTAGGAGGGCTGGGTCAGACTTCTCATCCAAATCCTCGGCAATCAGCTGCAGAGCCACAAACTGCTGGGTGGCAAATGCCAGTTCCAAGGCCTTGGAAAAGTGGCCAGCCTGTAGAACACAGAATAGCTCTCTGAGTTGGCCTTCCAAGCACCTGGGAAGCATGAAGTGCTTACTATGTGCTAGGCACTGTAGATACAAAAACAAAAATAAAAAGTCTCTGCTTTTGAGGAGCAATCCGCCTATCAAGGGAAAGTGTGTGTGTGTGTGTGCGCGCGCGTGTGCGCGTGCACGCACGCGTGCCTGCCATCTAGAATTAATTCAAAATAAATACAAGATAGTTTAAGGAAGGAGGATGTTGACTGTCAGGGGATCAAGCAGTACTTGAATACAATCCAGAAGGAAGAGCAGGCTTCTGAGGCAGAGGAGAGGAGAATTCATTCCAGGTGTGGGGCACAGCTGGGAAGATGCTGAAATAGGAGATGGAGTTTAGTGTTGGAGGAATAGCAAGGAGATGAGTTTGTCTAAACTGCAGAGTATGGGAAGAGAAGAATTATATTATTAAGCTCAAAGGTGGGAAAGGGTCAGGTTATGAAAGGCTTTCACTGCCAAATAGGAGTTTCTATTTGATGCTATAGGAAGCTGCAGGAGTAGAAAAGTGACACAGTCAGATCACTTTGGCAGTTGTGTGGAGGATTGACTGGAGTGGGGAAAGACATGTGGCAGGGACATCCAATAGGTTACTGCAGTGATCCAGGAGAGACAGGATAAGAGCCTAAACTACGGTGGTGCCTGTGGGAGTAGAGAGAAAGGGATTTAGGCAAGGTAGACTGAGGAAGTATAAATAAGATTTGGCAACTGTTTGTCTCTGTGGAGTGAGGAGTGAGTGAGGAGTCAAGGAGAATTCTGAGGATTGTTAGCCTCAGTGATTGGAAGGTCAGGTTCTCCCTTGAGAGAAATAGGTAAGTTTGGAAGAGGGGTGGATTGGGATCAGAAGAAGCTTAGCTCTGTTGAGTTTGAGATGGCTTTGGGATCCAATTTTATATAGGCAGCTGGTGATATGGAACTAGATCTCAGGAGAGAGCCTATGGCTAGATATATGAATCTGGGAGTCATTGACATAGAGATTATACGTAGACCATGAGAGCTAATGAGGTCACCAAGTCAGAGAGAGAGAGAAGAGAAAGAGGGAGAAGTGTCCAAGAGAGATCCTTGGGGAAGACTTTGGGGAACATAATATGAGTGATAAGCCAGCAGAGGATACCGAGAAAGAATGAGATTGAGGAGAACCAGGAGGAAAGTGTGTCACAAAAAGACCAGAGAAGAGAGAGTATTCTGAAGGAGAAGTGTTCAACGGTAAAAGATACTGCAGAGAGGATCAAGAAATTGGATTTGGCAAGTGGGAGATCACTGGCAGCTTTGGAGAGAACAGTTTCAGATAAGTGACGAATTTGGAAGCCAGGTAGTAAAGAGGTGAGAAGGGAGAGGTAAGGAAAGGAAAGTAATGAGTTTAGACAGCTTTTTTCTGAGTTTGGCTGAGAAAGGGAGGATAGTTTGAGGAGCTGGTAGGGTTGGTGAAAAATTTTTAAGGACTGTGGAGACTTAGGCAGCAGGGAAGAAACCAGTGAATAGGAAGGGACTGAAGATTAAAGAGAGGGGGATGTTTGAGGGGGGACAATCTATTGAAGAAGACTGAGATGAGATCAAGGACAAATGTAGATGGGTTTGGCCTTGGAGAAGGGTCACCTCCTTATTAGATCTTGTAGAAAAGAAGGAAGAAGTAGATGATGTCAAGAGGTTTTGAGATGAAGAGATGAGAGAGCTCACAACAAATGGCATCTTCTTTCAATAAAGAGTGAAGTGAGGTCCTTAGCTGAGAGGGTGGGGAGAAAGGGAATAATGAGTAGTATAAGGAGAGAAGAAAAGCTTTGGCACAGCTTCTGTGGGAAGTGAGATGGAGAATCAAGGAGCAGTAAAAGGACTGCCTTTCTGCAAGTGAGCACATAGTTGTTAGAGAACGCAAATGTGTAGTAGATCCACTCAATTTGGTTGCGTGACTTCCTATGGCCCTAGTCTGCAGCATATGAGTAGGAGCAGAAGAATGGTCAGAGTAGTCCAGGGTTGGGGTCTGACTGGCACTATTTGTGATAGGACAAGGGTGCAAGGATTTGAGAGCAGAGGACATAGTGGAGTTAGCCGAATTGGTTAATTAAAGGGTAGAGATTAAAAAAGTGAAAAAGCAAGAGTAATAGTCTGAGAAAGAAAGGGGTGGGCAGAGAGAGACACTGAAGGTCATGATAAGGATGAATAGGTTTAGGAAAGAAAATATAGGGAAAGATAGAATGATAATAGGTTTTCATCAGATAGAGCATGGGTTCTTAATCATTTTTTTTGTCACTGACTCCTTTGGCAGTATGGAAAAGCCAGCCCCCTTCTTGGAATGTTTTTAAAAACATAAAATAAAGTATATAGGATTTAAAAGTAAATCAATTATATTGAAATACAGATATCAATTTAAAAAAAAGACCCCAACTCCTCAGACCTAAGAACCCTCCAGCTATAAGCATGAAATATACTTGAGGTACTGGCTCTCCATGGCTGGAGACTCTAGTCCACACAAGTTTGAGGCTAGGGAAGTCACTGTGGGGCATGAAGGATGGAGAGTGGGGAGAGATCAGGCTGGAGCTGACTGAGGTACAGATGCTCCTGGAAGAAGAAAAAGTCACCCAGTAGCTATTTTAATTCTACTTGCTAAGCTCAGTCATTTCTTCAGCTCAAGTGAAAACAAGTGCTTTCACCACAATCACCCTGCCTAGTTACAGACTCCTAGAGAACCTGAAATTCACTCAGGTCCCCTGAACATAGCAGCAGTCAATATCCTTCAACTTGAGGTTCAGTAATAGATAGCACCCCTATTTACCTTGTGATACAACATGACTGCTCTGTCCATTTGTTCTCCCTTCTCCTCATAATACCGTGCTGCTTCAATCATGTCTTCTGGGGAACTCAACAAAGCCAAATTCATCAGCTGGTCATCTAGGTTGTTCTCCTGGCAAGAGAAAGATAAGTCTCTGAGTAAGGTTTTCTTATCCGATGTATTCCAGCTTCTCTATAGAGGGTGATCCTCTAATGGTACATCTATACTTCTCTAAACATGTTTGTGAAAGAGTCTTTGTCCCGGCCAAGTTCTAAGGACCCTACCTTACATAAACGGATGGCATTATTAAAGGCCTGGGCCCTGGTGTAGAAGTGGACAGCCTGTTTGATTTCCTCTTGGCTTTCATACTGACGAGCCAGATGATAAGATGCTGCCCAGTTCCCTGTTTCATTGGCTATTTCAGCAGCCTGCAAAGAAATCCATGTTAAACTTAGGCTGGCTTTGCTTTTTACCTAAGCGGGGTCAGAGAGCTCCCCATCCCAGCCCTCATGTAACTTTCAAAAGTGATCTTACCTTCTGAATGTTTCCTTGGAAGCAGTAAATGCGGACAAGAGAGAAATAATCCTGAGCCAATTCATAATACCGCAATGCTGAGTCCATGTCTGCCTGGCTTTCTAAGTACTGGGCCCACCACTTCCACAGGCTCCTACAAAGCACAGTAAGACCAGGCTTTGCATGTTTCTGTCAGTACAATCTAGTCCTGCCCTCCCAGCCTCCTCTGAAAAGGAAGCCTCTCTAGGCTTCAACTTATTGCTCTAGCCTTCATTTCCCATGCTTAGGGGAGGTCTCATAGCCTCAAAATGTGGGTCTCCAGATGTCAGTGACAAGAGGCCTAAGCTCAGGTTCTGCTCCTTCGGGGTGGATCTTCATTGCTGAGGAGTCACATGGTCATCTACACAGCACTACAGGCGACATGAGGAAGGATGTTAGAATGGGCTGGATTTCTCTACAGTTATGGTTTTTGTTGGAAGCCACATTTCTGCATCAATCTCAGACCGTTGTTCTTCATATTGCTGCCCAAAAGAATGTTTATGTAGCAAATAACCCATTTAGGAAACTAGATGGAAGATGGCTGAGAACGCTGCTCCTACTGTCCTGAGAAAATTGCATTTGAAAAGAAAACCTTCTGTATGAGAAACTCTCATTAGATCCATTTACAGACTTATGATATGGAAGACCAATAAACCAAGTCTCCCAGAGTAGATTCTACATGCTCATCATGGGCCCTGTGCACACACCAGGCTCAAAGCCAGAAATCAGACCCAAGTTTCAATGATGGAGAAAGCAGCTTCTATAACAGCCTCAGTCATGTTAGAAACACTTCTGATTTCTCAATACCCCAACCTCCAGGGACAGGCCAGCCACAGGACTTACTTGTCTTTCATTTTATTGATGTAAATCTCTAAAGCCTGCAGATCTTCTGAAAGCATCCTTGGCACCTCAAACCTATGTGTGTCTGACTTCTCATAGCTGTTCAGAAAACAATAATAAAAGAACAATAAGACCTGACACATATAAGTAGCATTTTAAAGTGCTTTACATCCATCACAAGATCTTATTCCTTGCCATCACTTTTTGCTCCCCAATAACAATAGAACAGAAGTAGAAAATAAATTAAACAGGAAACAACATAAGCAAATGCAAGAAAAGACCTGCCAAACAGCTGACTGTTGGCATTGAGGTCCGTGGCTCTGTTATGGATTTTCAGAACTGTCAAGTCAGTGACTATATAGGCCCAGCTTGCTACAGTGCTCAGCATGACTTACAAATGGCAATGAATCAAATCATATAGGGAAGAAACCCATCTGGGAATAAGCTGTTCCACTTCTGGAGGTGGAGAATATCTGTCTGAGCTTTGGGGAAACACTATAAAAGGTATGTTCTCAAAAGTGGGCAGTTTCTCTCACAAAAAAAATCAAGTCCAATAAGTGATAAAACAATTAAAGTGAACTAATATGTTAATTCTATGGCTTCAATCACTCATAAAAAAGACATTCAGCTGTGTATTCTTTGGCCTATTTGAAAACTGAATCATCATTTGTTAAAATGCAAAAAGAGAGAGAGAGAGAGAGAGAGAGAGAGAGAGAGAGAGAGAGAGAGAGAGAGAGAGAGAGAGAGAGAGAGAGAGCGCCTATTAATTCTCCTGAAGCTCCTGGAATATCAGAGCTAAATCTGGGGTGGGAGGGGTTAGGTTTTAAAGGCAGAAAGTATGATTAGCCTACTACATGATGTTACAAAATTTTCCATAGTGTTATTTAGCTCTCTTGTGATCTTAGCGTATGGTGTCTGTATCAATGGAAACCATTCCTTGATGATTTTTCAGAGGGCTATCTCATCAGGGTACAAATGGAGAAGTGGAAGCCCAAAGCTATTAATTAGCTAAGTGCCAAAAAAATCCCAGAATTAGTCTGACGAAGAGCCAGGGTACCCACATTCCTTCATATGCTTCCCTCCTGTGCTCCCCCACCCCCCACAGGCAAAGCTTTAACACTCTGCTCTTGATCACTCACTAGTTTAGTGCCAGGCTGCAATCTGCTGTGGCCTCTAAGTGCTTGGCATAGTTGTAGTAGGTGGTACGGAGGTGAACTCGGTCATGGGTCTCAGCTATTTCCACAGCTTTCTGCCACTGGTCTGAAGCCTGGTAGAATTTGTTCAGCAAGTCATAGCGTTTACATTTTTTATACAGGTGCTCTGCATCCTCCTGGGGGAGGGAGTGGAGAGGGAGAGAGGGAGAGAAGGAGATGTATAGAGGGAGAGAGGGAGAAAGAGAGAGAGAGAGAGGGAGAGAGAGAGAGAGGAGGAAGAGACAATGAACATGCAATCAAACAGGAGGGACAAATTTCCCAAGTCAGCCTACATAAGAAAACCTGTTGGTTGAGGAGTTGAAAATCAAACTATGTCCAGCACCATGCTCTGCACAGCAGATACTTAGTAGAAAACAGTTACTGAACAAAAAGTCAGCCAGTTAATAACACGTCCTGCACCCTGGGCTGAAGAAACAAAACACAGTCTTTTCCTTGAAGGAATCTATAACAGTCAGGACGAACATGTAAATAAATTCAGAATACCTAGAAACAAAAGTACACATAATCTGATTACTAACAGAATTGCTTCCTGTAGTAAGATCTGCCACAAATGGATATTTAGAGGATACTCACAACAGGTTAAACACAAAATTAAAATCTAAGCCTAATGTGACATTGTTTTTACAACAAGATGATGTGGGAAGTAAGAGTGACCCAGCAGTGAATAAATCCCAATGCCCTTAAAAAGCAGATTTCCCAGAGTCCACCTTACCACTTTTATCCTCTCCCTTTATTTTTTTTGGGGGATGGAGGAGTATTATTAAGTTTATTTCACCACAAAGGTTATTCAAATGCGTTATCAATGACCTTAGGGTTACTCTTTTTACTGTATCTACCTAGACTGCTGTAATCAATAACCTACTAACTGATCTTCTTGACTCTAGTCTCTCCCTTTTCCAATCCATCTTTCATATAGCTGCCAAAATAACCATCCTAGTGCACAGGTCTGGCCTTGTCACCCAAATGCCATTATTACCTCCCTACAGAGGATAGCCGGGTGGCACAGTGGATAGAGTGCCAGCCCTGGAGACAGGAAGATTCATCTACAAAAGCAGCCTCAGACACATAATAGCTGTGTGACCCTGAGCAAATCACCCTGTTTACCTGAGTTTCCTTATGCGTAAAATGAGCTGAAGAAGAAAATGGCAAACCACTCTGGTATCTTTGCCAAGAAAACCCCAAATAGGGTCATGAAGAGTCAGGCACAACTGAAAACGACCAAAAAAACACAGCCTATAGGATAAAGTACAAATTACTCAGATGCCACTAGAGGCCCTCCACATGCTGGCTCTAGCCCACCTTTCCAGACTTGTTTCATATCACTCACCTTCATGCCCTTTATGTTCCTGCAACTGGACTACTAGCTGCTTCCTGATCTCCTTCTGCACTCTTCTGCTTTTGTTGATGTGATAGGAGCAAAAGCCTAACCCCATTATCTGTGCAAGTTAGGCTAGATTCCCCCTAAAACATATTGAAACCACCGTCAAAATTGGCTCAGACCGTTGACATCATTTCTTGGTCACCTGAATACAAAAAAAGCCACGTGGAATTCTAGGCGTTCTTTGATATTGGCGGGCAACTCAGAGGTAGTCAACATGGGGTAACTTTTACAGATATCCTTGCTGAATATCTTGCTCTTAAGTCAATCTCTTTTTGTTAGCTATTATATGATAGAGTAGAACTTTTTTTTTTCTGCAAGTGCAATCGCATTGTCATGAGCCTGTCATTCACTTCTTTTGGTAGGTGTACAAGTTTGTTAAAGCCTAGATTAGTTTTGATTGCAAAACCTGCACCAGCTTCAGAGCACTCTCCCTCACTGTGGCAACTCCAGAAAAACGTGTCTCCAGCTCCAATTTCAGTAAGCTGGCCTTCATTTGCCAGCCTTGTTTCATTCAGGGCTGCTACTGCATTGCCAGAGCTAGCTCAGCATTTGGGAGGCTCCGAAGCAAAATGTAGGAGAGAAGAGTTACTAGGCTGCCTACTAAACTAACAATCCATAGAGCCATTGTACTGTCCTCATTGTTGTATGCCTGTGAAACCTGGACAGTATACCAGCTCTGTCTTGGAAAAATGAATTGCTTCCATTTGAACTGTCTTAGGAAGATTCTGAAGATCACCTGGTAGGATAAAGTACCAGGCACTGAGGTCCTTTCTTGAGCTAAACTGCCACGCATTCAAACTCTACAGCAGAAAGTACAACTCCAATGGGCAGGCGACCTTATTTGAATGCAAAACGAACACTTGCCAAAAAGATTGTTTTCTGGAGAACTCACACAGGGCAAGCGTTCACACGGTGGTCAGAAGAAGCAACACAAGGACACTCTCAAGGTCTCTCCGAAGAACTTTGGAATCGATTGTGTGACAAGGGAGATGCTGGCACAGAACTGCCCAGCATGGCGTGCCCACATCAGAGAAGGTGCTGGGCTCCATGAGCAAAGCAGAACTGAAGTAGCTCAAAAGAAACACGAGACACGCAAATTTAGAGAATCCACCCCAGATGTTCACAGACTATGTGTGCCTGACCTGTGGTAGAGCGTCCTGAGCTCGTACTGGTCTGACCAGCCAGTCGGACACACTGTAACCTGACTCCAGCACAGTGACTGTCGTTTTGGTCCTCTGAGAACAAAGGACACCAACCAACCCAGAGGTCTACAGAATCTCTCAGGCTGTTCCAACATCAAACCAAACGGCAGGGGATGCGCCTGTGCCGAGCCTAGTTCGGAATGGTTGTCTAGCACATGCCATCATCCTTCACGTCTGAAATACGTTCTCTCCTCACCCCCGGATCTGCCGACGCCGTTCTCTAACGTTAAGGCTCTGATCAAATGCCATCTTTTCCATGAAGTTTTCCTGATCCCTCTAAATGAAAGTCTTCTCTCTTTCCTAAGTCTGCCTGGAGAACCTTGTCTTTTTCTTTGCTCCAATCACATTCTAATGGGTATCTTATTTCTTTGAGCATGTCCTTGTACCTATTGGACTGTTTGTTCCTTGAGGATAAAGATTGTTGTTTTTCCATCTTTATATGACCTAATAACAAGCATTGTACCTTAATATGTTTATTGAATTGACAGTTTTTTAACCTACATACATATTTTGAGGAAGTAGACTCTTGTGACCCACCTAATAACAATAGTGCTGTTTATATAGTACTTTAGGGTTCACAAAGTACTTTACAAATATCTCATTTTATCCTCAAAACAACCCTGAGAGGTAAGTGCTATTATTATCCCTATTTTATAGATGAGGAAACTGAGGTGTCAGAAGTCAAGTGACTTGCCCAGGGTCACACAGCTAGTAAGTGTCTGCGGCTGGATTTGAACTCAGGTTTCTCTACTGCCAGATCCAGACCTTTCTACTGTGCCTTCTAGCTACCATAAAGGTCTTGGGACCAATTTACTTGCAGTCCCTCAGTAATACAGAAGGAAGCAAAAGCCATCAAACTCTGATGAAGACTATAGTTCTACCACAGCAACAACCTTCTTTTGGTAACCTAAGCTCCACATAAGTTGAATCTTTATAAGACCTATTAGTGTTCCAAGCATGGAGACATTCAGTGATTTGCCAAAATAATTCAATATGCCAGAGTCATAGAAAGCCCACTGAGAAACCTGATGAAGATTCATTCATTCATTCATTCATTCATTTTGGTGAGGCAACTGGGGTTAAATGACTTGCCCAGGGTCACACAGCTAATATGTATCAAGTGTCTAGTCTGAGACTGGATTTGAACTCAGGTCAACTCCAGGGCTGGTGCTCTATCCACTGTGCCACCTAGCTGCCCCATAAAGATTCTTTTAGCCTCTAAGTCAGGTCCTCATATGTGGTTTCCTATTGAAAAGCTCAGTTCAAGATATTATAAACCTAGAAGTTCTTGTGGAAAATAAAGTGATGCCTATCAACTGGGGAATGATTGAACAAATTATGGTATGTGAATATAATGGAATTCTATCGTACCCTAATAAATGATGAAAGATATGGTTTCAGAAACACCTAGGATTGTATGAACTGATGCAGAGAAAAGTGATGAAAATCAGGAGAAATGTTTTTAAAACAACAACGCTGTAAAGATAAATAACATTAAAAGACTTCTTCCTGATCTCACCTTGTATTCTGATCAATGCAATGACCAAACTAGACTCCTGAGGACCTATAATGCACCATATCCCCTACTCATAGAGGAGATAGGCTCAAGATGTAAAATAACATATATTTTTGAAATATGGACAATGCAGAAATTTGTTTTGCTTGACTAGGAATAATTTGTTATGAGAGTTATGTTTTCCTTTATCTTTTTTTTTTCCAGTGGGGGGAAGAAGATGAAGGAGAGGGGAAGCTAGGTGGCACAGTGGATAGAGCACCAGCCCTGAAGTAAGGAGGACCTGAGTTCAAATCTGACCTCAGACCAAACACTTGACACTTACGTAGCTGTGTGACCCTGGGCAAATCACTTAACCCTAACTGCTTAAAAAAAAAAAGGTGAGGGAGAAAAAATTAAAAACAACTTATAAGTTCTTTTGTCTCTGTTTAGAAGAGGCTCCAGTTAGTGTGGTAGACTTCTATTTCTCCTCGGCAGAGCCAGTTATAGAAAAACGTATCGGGATTAGTTAATGAGGAAGAAAGGTTGAAATTTAATTGTACCTTGCTGTTCCTAAAGTTGATTCATTTAGGCAGAATCAAATGTCTATGCTTGACATAGAGGCTCAGTTCTAGTGTGGTCTTGGCTCCTGGCAGCTTGGTGACATGGTAAGTGTATAGGGTGCTGGACTTGTAGTCAGGAAGCTCTGAGTTTGAATCTCATCTCAGACACTGACTATCCATGTTAACCTGGACAAATCATTTAATTTCTGTTAGCCCCAGTTTCCTCCTCTGTTCAATGGGTACCTCATAGGGTTATTGTAAGGATCAGATGAGATGACCTATGTAAAATGCTTTGAAAATCTTAAAGTGCTATCTCCATGCAATAGGAGACTGGCCAATGCTGTCTCGGTCCTTAACCGTGTGAGGCTGGGTGACACGGGTGATGAAAGAACCCTTCCTTTAATTGTTTCCTGTTGGTTTATTTTGTCTAGATGAAAAGCTTTTTAATTGGCTGCAAGGTGCAAAAACGAACTGTGCACAGAAAAGACTCCAATAGAGGAGCTCTCCCTCCCCACCCTGCTGGCTTTGAGGTGTAAGGACAACCCTCATGGGATAGGTTGGATGCCTCTCCATGAGCTCACGGCTTCCTAGACAAGCTTGTGTCTACAATGCACCCGCCTTCTGTGTATGTCTCCTTTCCTTTGGTAGCAATTAGCCGGCATCTTCCCCTAAGCACCAGGGTCCACAACTAGAGCAGCCATGTGGCAGTAATGGCAAACAGCCACCCCCAGAAAGAGAAGCTCCCAGAAAGAAAAGAAGCCCCTTGGTGTTCACCAGGCTGTTCTCAGTGGAGATGAAATGCAGAGTATCCAATGAGCAGCCCTGTTGCAAAGATTCCAACAAGGCTTGCACATTAGCCTCTCAACCAACCGGAATCATTTTGCATCTTCACTGTGTAGTGTTTCTTTTCTGTGTGGGAATAAAACAGCCTGTTCCACACCTGACTGATGTTTTTATTCTGAACACCTTTTACTTCCTGCCCTTCCTGGGGGGAGGACCCCAAGTCTAGAGGAGCGTAATGGGAGGACTTGGCCGATGAGGGCACAGTCTATCCATCACGTAAAAGCTGGACATTGTTGCTATTATTAATCCCAGGGCAGAGACACAGGTCATGGTTCCCCTTCTCAGGCGGCCTTCCCCCGATCATGAAGGTCAGGCCGGCCTGCTCCTCCCCATGCCGAGGCAGGGCAGCCTCACCAGCATGCCCAGCTGAATCGCGAGGACAGCCACTCTTGCTTCCAGCTCCGGTTCTTGTTCTGCCTCTCGTAGGGCTTTGGCTCCTCGGGCATGGCCCATGTTCCCCAGGCACACCTTGGCCACGTCGAGCCGCTGCGTTTTCACACACATACGCGCCATGTTCTCCCAGACGGCTTCGCTGCAGGAAAAAGGGAAATAGGGGAGGTTACACTTAATGAGCTCATCCTCTAGAAGGCTAAAAGGTCCAGCTCCCCATCAAATTCCCCAAGTAGAACCTACCTCAACATCAATATTATTAACAGGCATTTTCACTCCATTCTTTGTATTCCCTCACAAATAAAAACCTATCACATTATCTAAATGAGACAGCTAGGTGGGGCAGTGGATAGAGTGCTGAGCCTAGAGTTAGGAAAACCTGAGTTCAAATCCAGTTTCAGTCACTTACTAGCTGTGTGACCCTGGGCAAGTCACTTAAACTTCATTGCCTCAGTTTCCTCATCTGTAAAATGATCTGGAGAAGGAAATGACAAATCACTCCAGTATCTTTGCCAAGAAAACCCCAAAAAGGGTCACAAAGAGTTGGGCATGGCTTTAAACAACTAAATAACAACAGAAATTATCCAATTACCTTCTGTGTCTTTTCTACACCACTCAAGATGGACATTCTAGAAAAAGTCAAAGCTATCTTTGGACAAGGCTGCCCATTATGTATCTTTGTGCTTTGACCTTCACAAGGCCAGCTGTACTCCAGTCCAAGACAGTCTGATACCCTTCCTCTATAACAAATAACAAACAGTTGTGTCAAAGAACTCTCTGTTTCCTCAACTAAGCAACAGACTCATTTATCGTCTGACACTTCAGGGTCTTCTAAATGACTCATAGTGGGAGGGGAATTAAACTTCCATTTGGATTACAGAATGTTACTCTCACATAAAGCCTTCAATCTGAAGGAAAATATCCAACTATTTGGATTTCAGAAAGTATCCTAACCTACATTTTCCTTTCCAATAGCTCCTCCTCTAAGGATTGTTTCAGAGACAGATATAAAAGAGAATATAGTACAGAATGGGGGCCTAGAGGCATCTGGTGGCACAGTGGATGGAGCACTGGGCCTGCATTCAGGAAGACTTGAGTTCAAATATGGCCTTAGACACTAATAAGCTGTATGCCTCTGGGCAAGTCACTTAATTCTGTTTGTCTCAGTTTCCTCAATTGCAAAATGGGGATGATAACAGTACCTACCTTTCAGGGTTGTTGTAAGGATCAAATGAGATAATACTTGTGAAGTGCTTACCACAGTGCTCGGCACAAAGTAAGAACTATAAAAATGCTTATTCCCTTCTCTTCCCCTAGTTTATGAACCAAAGGTACTATCTGGGACAGAACAGTTGTTATTATGGGACTGCTGCTAATTACTCCTTTATTCCAAAGCACTGGACCTGGAGCCAGAAAAGGAAGGTTCAAATCCTGACTCCGCTATTCTTTCTCTTAAGTCACCTTGGCCGTATCAACATGGTCTAACGGAGAAAGCACTGGATTTGGAATCAAAAGACCTGAAGTTGAATCCTGGCTTTATTACTTATTGCCAGTGTTATTTTAGGCAAGAAGTATCACTTTGTTAGGCATCCGTTTCCTTATTTGTAAAATGAGGGAGTTGGACGAGACCAGAGGTGTCAAACGCCTGCCTTCTGCAGCCCACGACAGCACCAAGTGCAGCCTGAACCTGATTAAAATGTAATTAGTAAATATTTGACAAAATACATTAAAATACACCAAAACATGGATAACAGTACATTTAAAAACTCAATCAATGTGCAGCCTGCAGGGATTCTTATGTCCAGATTAGTGGCTCCCATTTCCATTTGAATTTGAAACCACTGGAATGGACGAGTCAATTCTAGATGTTCTAAATATTCTCCTCCCCCCTTCCCCAAGGCAAGTAGTATAACTTCTTTAGGCATCAGTTTCCTCATCTGTAAAATAAGAGGATTGGACTATGATCCAATCTGAAAGCCAATGATTCTAAATATTTCAATTTTTCTTCCCTTCTCTCTCTACCTTCTTTATTCTTTGCTCTTTCTTATTCCCTGAACCTGATGAATATCTTGACCTACACGTCAGTGACCATGTGGATTAATTTTGATCTTTGGAGGTTTCTTACCAACACAATAATGCCTCAGCCCTTTGCAACCTGAATTAGGTTCCTGTCCCTCTAAGGGTCTTGCTCTTCCCACAGACAATGAACTCACAAACCCTTAATAGAAGACAGGCTTGTGAATAGATATGAATACTAAAGGAAAAAGGCAGAAGAAGTAGGCTTTTTGGTTAACTTTTCTCCCCAACTGAGGTTCAAAATTCTAGTGCTTAGTAAGAGTGAACATCTCACTGAAGAAGTAGTATCTCTTAGGCAGTCATCTGCCTCTCCTCCGTGGTATTCATTCAGCCTATTCTTCTCTGGGGTCTGCTGTAGCTAAGCCTGCTTCTCTATCGTCAGTATATCAGACTTAGTTGAAGATGGGATCTTCTGGGTCTCCTAAGCTGCCTGGGCCTTCTACTGGGTATTTCCCTGATCCCTTCTCCAGTTAGATTTGGCCCACCTCTGGCAGATTCCTACAGGCCTCTTTCAACTGGTCCTCTCACTGGGTTCAGGCCTGGTGCTTTTCCATCTAGGAAGCTTGGAATACCACTGAAAAACCCAGCCAATGCCTCCTCTATTTCAATCAGTCAGCTAGTGGCCAAGGAGCAGCCAGTTCCACACACTTCTGTCTCCAGTGGGAAGCTCTCTCTGCCCAAAGATTTTTCTCAATAGCCGAGAGGGACAGCCTGCACTGACAGAAAACTCCTCTCCCATACCTATGAATGATCAGGAGCTTCTCTTTGCTTCCTAAGGAGTGAGAAGAGCTGAGCAGGAAACTCAGTCCTCATCCCACACACGCATGGAAAATCTCCCCTTGCGAAGAGAGTTCACAGACCAGCCCCATAAGACCAAGCTGCACATTTGCAATCCCTTGTGAAATGCATTAGAGGTGTATAGGTGGTATAGGGCACTGAACAACAGGGGCAGATTATGTCATACAAACAGGAAACTTTATACATGTAGGTTACATACTGAGGACACATACATTAAGCTCATATGCCTTAAATCTGTATAGGCTCTTCTACTGGGTGCACCAGCAGGCACTGTCTGGCTATGTAAGTGCTCTCCTTACACATCATGCTCAGGACATTGTACTTCAGTCTGGTCACTGGGCAGATTATCCGTGCAATTTTGTACATTGAGTTTCTCCATCCCTGGGAGTAGATGCCCATAGATAGTCTAGACTGGACAGAACTGTGTCTGGCCTTTAGGGAGTCAGGCTTAGCACATGGCCTCCATTTTGGGGGCGCTGCTGGAATGCCAAGTAGGAGAAAGGATGGCCTCTAAATTCAATCTCTCAGATTTACACAGACACTGACTTAAAGCACTGCCTTAGTGAGGTCCCAGCTTTGTTTTTTTTTTCATTTTAAAAAAGTTTATTTTAATTTTTTAATTAACTATTACCCTCCTATTACTCTTACCTGCATTGAGAAAAAAATTTGAAAAATTAAATCCCTAAATACATAGCTACACAGTTTGGTAAACAAATCCCCACATTTTCCATGCCCCCAAATCTGTTCCCTTGTGCATTTTGAGTGCATCACTTCTCTGTCAGGAGGTGAATAGTACGCAACCCAAGCTTTAGGTCTTGGCCTCTCCCACAGGCTCAGTAGCTTCATGGGGCTTCTCAACTCTGAACAGAACTCTTTTGGATCCCTTGGTTCCACTTCTACCACCCAGCAGCGCTGTCTGGAGATTCAGTCCTTCATAGTCCTATGGCTGGTTAATCTTTCTGTTCCCTTACTTGACATGCCACCATTTTTCCATCTCCGACACAGACACACCTGCTCAGTAGTGCCTCCTGCATGAGACTCCTTTGGACACAGGCTTGCTATTCCTGTCATCAGGAATCATCTCTTTTCAACTTTCCCAAAATGCATCAGTCTTGCCTCACTGTAGTTGGGATGGTCACTGTATAGCAAGCCCTAACCCTTCAATCCTCACAGTTTCTGATGCGTGGGGTGCTGAGTCACAGGTATCACATGACACGGTCCCCATCCTTGACCCCATTTCCCAAAGCAAGGTAGTAGACTTCAGCTTCCAGAAAACTAATGATGAATTCTCTCAAGCGAACAGAGCATTTGTGCCTATCCACAGCTGGAGGTCAGTTTTTCAAAGAGTAAATGGCAACAAACTGTCTGTCTCTGTCCACAAACTGCTTGTGGGTAAACTTCCCAATTACATATGCCTGGCTCCATTTTCCAAGGGGAAAGAAGAGGAACCCAATGGGTGGGAAATTCTTTCCCTACTGCATATACAGGGAATCTACACTAGTACAGCCCCTACCCCTGCACAAATTAAGGGGAGAGTGCTCACAGGTCCCCATGCTCCTCAGAGTCACTGGCCACACAGACAAAACAGCTCAAGAAAAACTGATATGGAATACTTCAAGGGGGTGGTTCCACAGTTTGACTTCTTGAACACGTGCAACTTTGTCCTAAGTAAATATAACTACACATCACGTTGCTTCAGATGTCAGAGCTAAGTAAAACCCCCCTTTTTTTGTGTAGTCCTTAAGCAACAAGCTGTGGGTCTAAAAAAAACCAACTGTTTATCTGTAATTTCATTTTTTGCAAACTGCTACTTCTTTCACAACATGACTAATATGGAAATATGTTTTACGTGATTGCACATATATAACCATATCACATTGTTTACTCTCTTAGGGAGGGGGGAGGGAAGGAGAAAATTTGGAATTCAAAATTTTAGAAAAAATCAATGTTAAAAATTGTCTTTACATGTACTTAGAAAAAAATATGTATATGAAAAAACCTCTTTCTATCTCCACTGTTTCTTACACCTCCAGAACATCTCTCCCCCCATCTGAACCTTCCTCTTAACTCACACAGCCATCACTTAAGTCCAAACCCTCATCACCTCTCACTTTAACTGATGCAATGGCCCCCAAATGAGCTTTCCTGCCTTATCTACCACTACCCCCATTTACCCTTCACACGGGAGCCAAAGTGATTCTTCTCAAGTGCAGCTCCGATGTGTCACTCCACTGCTCAACAAGCCCCAGTGGCTCCCTCTTGCCCCTCGGATAAAGTAGAGACTCCACTGCTCGGTGCTGAAAGCCCTTCACCACATCACCTGCTCTCAGCCTATCTTTCTAGTCTCATCATCTATTACCTTACTCTACAATCCAGCCAAATGGCACTTTTGGTCCTCAGTAATGGCATTCTGTCTTCCTCCCCACGTCCTAGCACCGGCTATCCCTCCTGCCTGGAATGTAATCCATCTCATCTCTGCCTCAAAGAATCCCCCTCCCTTTGAAAGTCAGCCCAAGCACCACTTTCTACATCATGCCTTCCTTGGCCTCCCCCTGAAGCTACTGTCTGTCAGCCTCAGTGTCCTTATCTGTAAAATGAGAAAACTGGATCAGATGGCTTCCAATATCCTTTCTAGCTCCCATCCAAGATCTTGTGATACTTGTCTTTTCAGCTCGCCAGCAGGGAAACTTCTGGTGATTTTTTATCAAAAACTTTGTCTGGGAATTTACTGATGTGCTTTGTATTTTTATATTTTTGGATCTAGCCCTTAGGGCTTCAGGAGAAGAGTATACTTTAAACATATGTATGTATATATATATGTATATACACACACACATATTTCCCCAATTACATGTTAAAACAATTTTAAACATTTTTTTAACGTTTTGAGTTCCAAATTCTATCCCTCCCTTCTCTCCTCCCTCTTGAGATGGTAAGCAATCAGATATCGGTTATACATGTATAATCATGTAAAACATTTCCATATTAGTCATTTTGTACAAGAAGACAGAAGAATATACTTTTAAACAAATAATATAATCCCCCCAAAATCAACAGTGACAAAGAAACAGATATCATTTTAGCTATTTCCCTTGGATTAAAATCAGCCTTACAGATCTTTCTACAAATAAAACCAAGGGGAATCTGCTCTGGAGTCGTGGGGGCTGTGAGCAGGATTAGTTCAGCAAAGAAAGAGACCTTGAGTTGATTTCTAAACTTGGAGGCCCCTCCCCTTGCATTCCATAACTCTGCTTCCTGCTCAGAGGCCCCTTCCTCCCAGATAAAACTGTCAGCCTTCCACTTTGATACAGCACATCTTGGAGGCAGAAGAGGATCTGATTCTCTCTTCCCACCTGGTAGGAAAAGACGAGTTTCCAGAGGCAGGAAGCCTGCCGAACAGGGGGAGGAACCACCCTTTCTTGACCCAAAGAACTCTATCTCTGAGAGGAACAGGAAGGTGGAAGGGAAGCTGCCTCAGGGGAAACCCATGCTTTGGGCCATATTGTTCCTGAATGAGCAAGGAGATACTTTAAGTAAGTTCCCTGAAAACTGATTTGCTACATTAAATGGTATTTTCTGGCACTTTTCCTGATGGTCTTACTTATTTCCAGATTTTCAATTAGGAATTCTGAAACCTTGTTTACCAGAAATCTTGACTCCTGGGGACCCTGTGGGACACAGGGAAAGGATTATCCCTGGAGGAATATGGCAGGTTCTGTTTTCTCATCTTTTGGGTTCATGGATAAATGAAAGACCCAGTCCTGAATGGGAATCCCAGAGCCTCACATTAATACAACACACAGTGGATCTACTGTTTATCCAAATAGCTTTGGGAAATGGGAAAAATCAAGAGATGACTTCAGTCAACTCTCTTGCATGCTGAAAAAATTATGTCTGTGGCCAGGATGGTAAATACTTTGCCCACTTTTTTAGTGTGAAGAATATACAAATTCTTATTGTTTGTATTTGTAACTTATACCTTTCTTGCAATATATGATTTCAAGTCTCCTGAGAATCATAGCTTATTGTGCAAAAGAGCAGGGAGACTGAAGCATTTTGGTTAGTAAAAATATATCCTAAGTTTCTACTGCTGAGAAGAAATAGGATCCATTTTCAAATAAAAATAACTCATTATTTCATGTCCCTACAACACAGCATTGCTTTTTTCCTATAGTTTTTTTCTAAAGTTAAGTGCATTTATGAAGCTAAGTGAATGAAGTTAATTTATGAAGTTAAGTGAATTTATAAAGTATAAGTATAATAAGGAAACCATGCCTAGCATATGTAAGGACTGTACTAGTGAAATATCAACAACACCAGTGTCGATGTAAATCACTTAGAAGTGGGTTTAACCTCTCTCATCTATTTGTTTTGGTTTAATGGTGGCATTTGGGTGTTCTCACAAATGCTAAGGAGACTCTCATTTGACTTTGTAGGCCACTGAGATAAGTTTGGGCACACTTAAATGCTTTTAAAAAAATACTAATGAAACTTAACCCTAGAATAATTATCTTTTTTATCTATTGGATTGATTCCATTCCTTGCATCTTAATTGGAGAATTCAAAAGATACCCAATCATTACTGACTTTCACAGGAAGATCTTTACCACATCTCTGTTGAGTCCAGAGGCCGTTAAGTGAAACAGTGCATAGAATACTGGACCTGAAGTCAGGAAGACCTGAGTCCAAATCCAGCCTCAGATACTCTGTGTGACCCTGGGTAAGTCACTTTACCTCTCTCAGCCTCAGTTTCCTCCTCTGTAAAATGGGGATAATAATATCAACTTCCCAGGATTGGTGTGAGGATCAAATGAGATGACATTTGTAAAGTGGTTGTAAAACTTAAAGCACCATGAGTGCCAGCTGTTACTATTATTAGGTACATACTACAGGTATTATTATTCCCATTTTGCAGAGGAGTAAACTGAGACTCAGAGAGATTAAATGACTTGACAGTAGTCACAAATCTAGTAATTATTAGAGGTGATATATGAAGTCTTTCACATTTCAAATCCAGAACTTTATCTACTTTGGCCAAATTCCTCTATAGAGAGTTGGTAGATGGTTCAGAATTTCTTTTTTGGGGGTGGGGGGGGTGGGACAAGACTAGTGATTTAATTGGTACAGGGGCCACCTCTCATGCTGGCTTAAAAACTACATGCATTTAAAAATAGCCTAAAGATATAACACTCTTAAGGAAGATGGTTTGTATTAAAAATTGTATGCGTCTTATTCTTTAGATTACCCTGGGCAGGGGCAGCTAAGTGGCGCAGTTGGGGCAGCTAAGTAGTGCAGTGAATAGAGCACTGGCCCTGAAGTCAGGAGGACCTGAGTTCAAATCCAGCCTCAGACCAAACACTTAACACTTACTTAGCTGTGTGACCCTGGGCAAGTCACTTAGCCCCAGTTGCCTAAAATGAAAAAAAAATGAGGAAGTAGATTACCCTGGGCAAGGAGTTCTGTGCATTTCAATTTCCATCTTTATAAAATGGATAGAAAACCAAAGCTTGCTTTCTGCCTCTATTACAGAGTTAAATATCTAGCAGAGACATTCTACTGAAATATCAACAAACAATGGGATATTGAGTCAATTTATGAAAGTCTGGTAATTTAGAATAATCCTTTTCTAAATCATGCCTTCATTGAAGCTTTATAAAACGTCTTCATATCCAATTAACATCATTAGATGATTTCAACTGGAAAGATATTATTTGTGGGAGACTTTTCAATTCTTTTGCTTACCAAAAATCTTCTGGGTAGTGTGACAGATACACCAAAAGAGGACGCCTTCTTTCCACTTACATTTGGGAAATAACTTTTATGGTTTTTGGCCTTTTCCCTTTTTCAAAATTTGCCAAATACTAGAATCTAGTGAGCAGTGTGTCACTTTTTCTAACATTTTGCATTAAGTTTAACCCTATTTATAAGACAGCTTGAGATTCTGATAAGACGTGGCTGGGTGAATTTCTCCAGAATAATTTGATCAGTTACAAAACCATGTTTATATATTTTTAGGGTTTCCCTTTGGGTTTTTTTTTATCATTTAGTTTGTTTCATGTATGGTTAAGTTTGAAAATTCCTCTAAAGAGCAGTCTGCCAATAACTTCAAAGTTAGAAGATCAGTCCTCTCAGAGTGTATCTCAGAAATGAACCAATCTGGGAGCAGCCAGAAGCTTCAAATATACAGTGAAACCATTTGTATTTCCTAGAAATGAACCAATCTGGAAGCAGCCAGAAGCTTCAAATTTACAGTGAAACCATTTGTATTTCCTAGAAAACATCACATTATTATGATTATTATAATACTAATTCAAACTCTATTTCCATGAAGTGATTTGGGAGATCACTCTTATTTTTGGAGGGATTTCTTATTACCAAAACTTTAGAAATACTGTATGCATAAATGTGTAGAATTCCCAAAAGTCACTGCTTACTATATCACCACTGCCTTTCTCTCCAATCATTTAATACCTTTCTCTATGCTGAGAAGGCTTTTTGGAGAAACCCTGATACTCAGAAAATCCCAAAGAAATTCATGTACTAGTAAAAGACTCTCCAGAATAAGGCTAAAACTGATTCACACTTCATCTCTTCCCTTGTGGTGCGCTGAAGGAATAAGGGGCAAGTTAAGTATATGTTGGGGGCTTATTATGAACACCCGTTTTCAAAATTTGCCAATTGAAATTCAGATCTGCTACAAGCACCTAAGCAAGAAAAAGGAAAAGAGCTGAATCCTGGCATGGTACATACATCCTACAGCATGATTCTTATGCTGGCACGTCCACAGAACAGTCCTGATCTTACGTCTACCAAGAGAAACTACCAGAGAAATCTGTAAGAATTATAAGACACCAGAAAACTCCAAGCTTTTTGCTTGTAGCAGATTCCAGAATGCTTTGCACTCTGAGAAGTTAGCAGTCCCAGTCTCCATCCAACTGTGGAGCATTTCCTGTTCTCTGCGCTTTTACTTGGAAAAAAAAAAAACCTTACAGCTGCACTTCATCAAATCTGAACAGGGAATCTAATAAAAAGCAGATGGGGCAGGAGAGGACTAAGGTCCTAAAATGGATGTGGATATTTCAGAAAGGAATAGATCCTGTGTGGAATACATTAGTAAGTCACTGAGGCCCTCTCTCCCAAGGCAAAGTGTGACTGGAGGACTGACTGCTTCAATGTAAGACTGCATATGAATTGTTGCCAAACCTTTTCATTCTTCTTTCCCTTAAAACTATTCTCAGGATGATCAAGACTGTTCCAATTGTGCTATTAATATTGACTGTAAGTGCTATAGATGGAACGCTACCCAGTGGTCTCTGGTTAGCTAAAAAGTCAGATCTGTTTTTGTCTTCAGGTTCAACTGCTCAAAAACGAAAAGCAATTTGTCCTCTTCTCATAAGAAAGGAACATGTATTCTTAGAGCTAAGTCTTGTGCTAGTCCTTTAGTTCATGAATTTCTATTAAAAATTCTAATTTATTTATGCCTCCAAAGGGGCTTAACCCATAGACAAGGAAAAGTATCAAAGAACTATTAACAGTTCTCATTGAACAAATCTTTTCCTTACAAAGTGATGTCCTTCTTTATATATCTTAAGTGCAATATGTTAACTGATGTCTGATGCATCGATAGATTCTAGCTACACTTGAGATAGGAGCCACTGAGGAAGAGCATGAAGGTGGATCTCATACTATTCACCTGGAAGTAGACGACATATAGTTCTTGAGATGCTCTTAGCAGTTTATTGTGGAGATGTTTCCAGGTATATGTGTGCTTAGTGAATCTGATTTGATTACTTTCATTTCCCAAAGGGGAAGGCTCAGTTCAAAGCAATAATCACTCTCTGTGACTTAGAACCTACTAACTAAATTTTACATTTTCTAGGTCTTTCTTCCTATTCTGATAGGATGGATGCCTATAACTCAAAGTGATTTTTTTTTTGTAGAATTTAGGGTGAATAGAGATGCTGTTTTTTTTTTTAATTTATGAAAGTCTAAGGCCCAGAGCTTTTCTCATTCAATTCCAGAAGAATTCATACCATCCTATCATCACACATTCCCTCAAACCATCTCCCCCACCAAAAAATTCTCCCACTCCCCCTATCCCCAGCAAATAATTCACTCTAGAGGGATAGACAAATCTTAGCTGCCAAGGTAAAGCAAGCTTACCATCTGCTAAAAGAGAACATTCCAGGAATACTTAGTGCCCCCAGGGAAAATAGGGTGAGCAAATGTTTGTCTCCTAACAATCTCATCTGTTTCAGGGTTAGAATAATTACTTAGTCTAAACAGATGAATCTTGGGCTGGGCCCCACAGGCACAGACATCAGCAGCCCCACCCCTTCTTCATTGCCACCATTCTTAAAAAACCGTAAGGAATGGAAAAATGATGGAATGGCACAACTGCAGGTGCTGCTACTTCCCAGGGAAATTCAGAATATTTACTCTTATTTTTCAAACTTGTGAGTGTTTGTTTCCCTTGGAAATTAGTCATACCCAAAGAGTCATTTTCTGCCTCAGCAATGGTAGGAAAATCTAATTCTAAATTAAAATCTCTGAACCAACAGTGTTTGAAGACTTCTTGACATAGTTACTGCAAAGTAGGGGATAAGAGTGGTGGACACTTCAGGTTAATAACTTGGAACTTGATAAACTTGCCTATCTGCTAAGTTGTCTGACAATGATGTATAGAAGCAGATATTGGTACTATAAAAATTACTGCATAGTATAGATTTCATCAAATTGACAAAAGTGTGTTACAAATGCTTGATAATGTTGCTCTACTCTTTTTACATGTGGCTTGTTACCATATTGGCAAATGAGAGAGCTACTCTAATAGATACAGTGCATCTGGAAGTCATCTAGACATTTCACAAAGTTTCTCAGGAAAAGATAGAGAACTATAGACTAGGTGGTACAGTGGGGTTGATTTAGAACTGATTCAAAAGCTAGACCCAAAGAATTATTGATTGATAGAGGGATGTCACCTAGGGGAGTGGGCCTCTAATGGCCCCAGTGATGTGCTCTGCCTTTCTGTTCAATATGTTTATCAGTCACGTAGATGAAGGCATAGATGGCACATCAAATTTGTAGATGACAATGCTTGGAGGGATAGCTGATGCAGAATTATGTGTTTACAGAATTCTGGGTGACAGAATCAAGACCCAAAAAGATCTCAACAGATTAGAACATTAGGCTGAATTTTGAAAAATTAAATCAAATGCAGATAAAGGTGAAGTCTTACACTTGGGTTAAATCAATCAATAAATAAGCATTAACTAGGTGCTTATTATATGCCCAATCACTCTGCTGAGGATTAGAGATACATATACAAAAGCAAAACAGATTCTGTCCTCAAAGAACTTACATTCAAATGGGAGATAAAATATGTAAATATACAAGTATGTGTAAGTTTATATATACATATACACACACATATGTAAATGAAAACAAAGTAGTCGGGATCAGGGAGGGAATCAGGAAGGTCTCCATGTAAAAGGTAGCCCCTGAATTGATTCTTCTTCTTCTTCTTCTTCTTCTTCTTTTGATGAGGCAAATGGGGTTAAGTGACTTGCCCAGAGTCAAACAACTAGTGTCATGTGTCTGAGGCTAGATTTGAACACAGGTCCTCCTGACTCCAGGACCGATGCTCTATCCACTGTGCCACCTGGCTGCCCCCTTCAGTTGGTTCTTAAAGGAAAGAAAGGACTCTAAGAGAGAAAGATGAAGAGAAGAGTATATTTCAGGCCTAGGAGGCAGCCAGAGCAAAGTTCAGAGGGGAGAGATGGAATGACAAACAGTTTGAGTAGACTATGTATAATGAGGCTGGAAAAGTGGGTTGGGGCCAGGTTGTGAAGGGTTTTAAAAGCCAGGCAGGCATTTTAATTTTATCCTAAAGTCAGTACGGAGCCATTGGAGTTCACTGAGTAAGAAGGTGATATGATCAGCCCTATGCTTTAGGAAAACCAGTCTGGAGCTGGAAAGACAATGGATTGGAGGGGGGAGGGACTTGAGGTAGGTTGGTAAGAAGGTCAACTATAAGGCTACTTCAATAGTCCAGTAGAGAGGTAATGAGGACATAAATTATCATGGTGGATAGGGTGTAAATGGAGAGGAGGGGTATGAAAGGTCAAATAGGCCTAGGTCTCAGCAGAGAAATTAGGGCTGTATGGGTATGGGTATATGTACACACATACATATACACGTGTGTGTGTGTGTGTGTGTATAGAAGGACAGTCATGAGGAAAAAGGATTAGGCTTATTTTATTTGCCCCAGAGGTCAGAACCAGGATCACTAGATAGGAGCCACAGAAAGGTAGGTTTCAACTCAATAATAGGAAAAGACTGCCTAATGATTAGAATCATCCAAGGAAAAAATGGGCTGCATCAGGAGATGGTAAGTTTCCCATCACTAGCAAAAGTCAGAAGACCACTTGCTGGAGATGTTATAAAAGAAATTCCTATTCAAACATAAGATGAGGTCTGAGGTCCCTTGTAATTAATTCTGAGATGCTGTACACCTGAAATATGCTTTTAAAATTTTCACTTCAATCAAACACATGTTTATTACTGTTGATTTGATCTGCAATGAGACTCTGAGTCTGTGAAATACATTTAAAATTTTGTGGATAGAAGGAACGATTCCATTTAATTCTTATTTGAGTCTGGGAGGTGGACTCTGTCCTATTATCATTTCTATCATCAATGTAAGGTGACCCAGAACTAGTTATATGTAAGGCTTATAAATCTCTGCTAATGCTATTTCTTATGATCAGGGTCATGGTGTCACCAGAACTTATGCTTTGATAGGAAATGCAGACTAATGGAAAGAGAACTGGAACTGGGAAGAGCAATTGTGAGATGCAGGTTCTGTCCTAGTACCGTCACAAATGAGGAACGTGACACTGGGCAAATCAATTGACTTTTCTCTGTGATTTAGTTTTTCAGCTGCCAAACAAGATTGTTGGAAGGACCAAATAGACAATGTTAAAGCAGGGGTGTCAAACTCAAATAGAAACATATCCCTGCAGCTCTATATTCACATAATAACCTATAAATTCACATTATCTATATTGTATTGTATTGTTTTTATTTAGTTTGTTAAACGTTTCCAAATTACATTTAGATCTGGTTCTGTAGCATTAGGAGTTTTGGTGGACACCTTCTAAGTAAAGTACTTCAAAAAGTAGAAAATGCTACATTAAATAAGCAATTACCACTTTTGTTATTGTCATATATGATTTGAAGGATTATTTTTGTTATCATCATCGTCACTACTATACTTGTACTATTTTCCGTGCTATACTTTGGGCCTATATAATTATTGTTCCAAGAACCATTAATAAGATTCATTTATCTCTATCCACTCACCCATGCATTCATTGTTTTTCATTCAGCACTCAACTCTACATCATTTAACTTGTGGCCACGTGGGTAAGTGGTCCACAGAGTAAGATAACCAGGAATGAGGATGGTTCAGTCTTGTAAAGCTACTAGAGCAGCCTCCAAAAGTTATCTTATTCACAGCATAACGTTTTGTACACCTGCTTTCAGGAAGTATAGGACTTGGGATGAAAATGACATACATAGTCATTTCCCCTTGGCAAGGATATAGTTTTGGCAAGGGTGACGATACTTATGCACCACAGTAAGCATTAGCGTGCTCCATAGCAGTGACAGTCTGTGTGCTAGAGGGATGCATAATAAAGCTGGAACAGATGGCAAATAGGGTACTGGGCCTGCAGCGATCCTCCAGCTTTCTTAAGATGTCATTTGCTACGCTTAAGTCTCTGGAAGTCTCATTGCTGACTGAAGAAGTGCTAACACACGTCTTTGGTATCAATCCAGTAACTGGGGACTGGATTGATAGGTTTCAAGAGAAAATGAATCAGGCTGTTTTGTTCCACAACATCCCCGGCCTTTCCTTTTTGGAAAGGAAGGTGTGGAGAGGGAGCAGTGAAAGGAGGTGGGTTTGGGAGTAAGACTTTAGAAGTCTCCCCAGTCTTTTCCTTTCAGGAAACACATCCTGTTAGTGTCTGGCTGCTGTGGCAGTGCCTCTGTTTGTTGCGATTGGCTACGCCCTCTAGCTCACCAAAAACAGCCGCAAAAACAACCATTTCCTTTTCGCTGAAAGACAGGGGGAAAAGACCATATGCACACTTCCCTGCAGCCGAATCTCTACTTTTCAGTATCTGCCCCTGGCTGCTGGGACACTGGGCAAGAAGCCCGGGCAGGGAGAGCTTTAGCCACTCAAAGCCCATGTCCTTGCTTCATTACACTCCTGCTCTGGGGCGTGTGTGTTAACTACTACCAGTTTTATTTACTGGGTTAAAGTGGATCGGGTCGTGTAGTATTGGAAAAGGGGTTTCCAGTCTGCTCCTTTGCCTCTGAAGAGATCCTCTGTTTCCTGTATTTGCTGCATTGCAGAAGACCGAGACATTTGGCTAACACATATTTGATACTCTTTCCCCCCAGGACCATAAGCTCAAGATTCTGGATCCATTGTGGGGGCACATTGGTCTTCAAGGGATGGGCCTTTCTGCAGCCTGGTTCAGCACAGGACTGGCACTACTCAAAGTGCAGGCGGGAGGATAAGGCTGTGTCACCAGGACAGTCCTACACCTTAGACTTCTTCTATGGAATATTCCCATCTACCTCAGAACGTGCTAATTTGCCTGGCTGGAGTTGACTTGGAAGCTGACTTTGAGGATGAACGGTGATGTTCTCTAGCCACCCCTAACACTATCTGGTGGCTCTTTCATCTCCAGTTCTTTTTCAATGTGCCATAGCTGGCCGAGCCCTTGGATCTTCTGCAAATAGACTGACAGTAATTGACAGTCAGATATGACTGTCCAGAAACTGGTGGCCACAGCTGTATTAGTGGCCCTAGTCTCACTAATTCTCAATAATGCAGCAGCCTTCACTCCCAACTGGGTGTACCAGACCCTGGAAGATGGGCGCAAGCGAAGTGTGGGACTGTGGAAGATATGCTGGCTGGCAGATAAGGGCAAAGCAGGGGCAGGCAGTGGAACCCGAAATGGGCAAGGGGAAGATCGTGAGTGTGAAGCCCTAAGCTGGGGGTCAGACTCAGCAGGATTCCAGGAATCGCGAAGTACCGTCAAATGTAAGTCTTCTGTTCACTTTTCCAGTTTTTTTGCCTAACGGAATAGAACAGTATATGGGTAGGTGGCAAAAGTGAAATGCTCAGCTGTTGATGCAGCCTCTGGCCATCAGGGAGTGCAACTGAGTAAAAGTAGCCACCGTGGAATGCGCCTGATGATCACATCTATACACAGCAAGGGGAAGCACTTCACTCATTTGAAGGAAACTCACCCAAATATTAAAACCATTAGTAGAGATATCCACCCTTCTGGCCAATCCACCCTACACTCGTTTCATCTCCAAGATATTTTATGCAAGTAATAAGGTTTAAGAATAAAAAAGAAACAAAAGATATAAAGAATTTAGGGGGTTTTTTTCCTTTTACTGATCTGTGGTGTTAGTTTTGTTGTTAAAAACATAAAATGTCCTAATGACAGAATCAGACAGAATCAATTTTTTTTGTTAAAAAGGTCAGAAGTTGAACAAAAGTTTCAATATTTTAATAATACGCAAGTAAAAATAAAAATAGTATATTTCAAAAAATATTCAATTAATAATTTGTTTTCCTAGTTTTGCAGAGTCTCTACAGAACATGTGAGACACAAAATAAAGAGGCAGAAAAGACAGTCAGAAAGGACTGAGTTTTGGAGTCAAGTGGCAGAAGAGGACCAGAATAATATAAATAACTAATAGAGAGGCAACACAGATTAGAGAATACTGGTCCAAAGGTAGGACAGCAGAACTCTTAGCTTTGTTCCTAAATAATTATACTTGGCTATGAGCTGTTAGGCAAATTACTTTTCTGTATGTTTTTTCCCACTCTGAGAATTTAGGAAGATCAATTGGATTTAAAAATTTGTAAAATATTTTGAACATACTAGGAGGGGCTACATAAGTCAAAAAGTCTATTAGTTACCTTACTCACAATTTTAATTTTATTAAAAAGTCTTTCTCCCAAAGTTACTATTCTGTCACCCTTGGGATTTACAAATGCAGTTGAGTATGATTCATTTGGAAAAAGTTTGGCTAAATATCCTTATCACAGGGATCATCTTTAAAAATCCAAATTTTAAAATGTCATATGAAATTTTTAAGTTTAAGATTTTCTCCATCTATTCAGTTTATAAATATACTTTAAAAAGGAAATGTAAAGCTCATGTAATTACTTTTATAACATGTTTTAGACCTTTTTCCAAAAAAGTCCTTAAATAATTCTGTTCAGTTTTCCATTTTTTGTTTAGTTTAATTTAGGTTGCACTGACATCCCAAGGGAGTTATAGATAGAAAATTCTTTTGAAGACAGTATAGCTAGAGAGGAAATTATTTCTACAAATCAAACAAATCTACTCACACTTTAAAACCCCACAGTATGTAAGCAGGATGTTCCACATGTTTTCTAGTATTATTTAATTTTCATGTATGTCTTTTTTCCCCAACTAGATGGCAAACTCCATATAAGCAGTGACTATATATGATGCTGTGTACATAAGTGTTCAATAATTTTTTGCTAAATGAATTAATTGCCAAATAAGGTTTTCAAGGAAAATTTCAATCTGGTTAACTTCAGATGAATAAAATTCACAAATACAAGCTGAATTTTAAAAATGTATATAATTTAGCAGATAATTCTTTCTTCTAGAAAGTTCATGTTAGACAGGGGGCTTTCATGCAACTTGAGATTCTTGTTGTTTGTTTGAACTAATTATAACAATAATAAGAAATTAGCATTAAAGAACATCACAGACTCCAGTTGGTTTTAAGTTTTGGCAAAAAGTCATGTTTCTAGGGATTTAGCAGTCTAGGAACAGGGACTGATTTGAATCTTATTTTGTTTATCAAATGCAAAAATAACCATAAGCTATCTCCCTAAAATGTACAATAAACCCACATATAGAGAGAGCCATATTAAATTCATGATAATTCTGACATGATTAATATCAATCAACACTAATCTCCCATACAGCTTAGTATGACTAGAATGGCTTATTAACTGTATGGTTTGTAAACACACAGAAAGTGAACTGGTAATCAATCACTTAGTGGCAGTGCGGGCTCATTAAGAGCTTGCCAGATCACAGAATCATAAAACTAGAGATAGAAGACACATGAGAGATCATCTGGTCCAACCCCTCGTGTTACAGATAATGAAAATGGATCCAGAGAGATCAACTCACTAGTCCCAGCCAGGATCCAAACTCTGTTTTGTGCCTCAAAGGTCAGCATTCTTTCTACTGCATCTCACTGAAGAATTTCACCTCTTTTTTCTTTTAGAATAACTAGACCATTAGATCAAAGGAATTTTATAAATAGAAAATCTCTAGCTTTCAGCAAGGCATTTGATGATGTTTTTCATCATATCCTTGTGCATAAGAAGAGTATAGTTAGGTGGATTCAGAACTGGCTAAATGGCTAGATTCTAAGAAAGGTGATCAACCGATTGATTGGAAGAGACTAGTGGAGTCCCAGAGATATCTATACTTGACCTTGTTCTTTTCGATGACCTAGGCTAGGGCTTAGATATCATGCTTAGCAAATTTGCACATGACCATAGGTGGGAAGGATAGCTTATATGTTGTATGACAAAATTAGGGATCCAAAAAAATCTCAATAGGTTGGAATGATGAGCAGAATCATAAAGGGTGACATTTTATAGTGTAAAAATACAGGATAGTGGATGTATGGGGAAAAAAAGTACTTCACGTTTTCTGGAAGCTCAATATGAGTTAATAAACACGAGTCAATAATGTTCAATGATTATTGCACCCCCCCCAATATAACAACATCACACAAATGAAAAACAATGTTACATTAGGCTTAATTAACATAAGCATAATGTTTGGAACAAGGGAAATAATAGTTCTGCTCTGCTCATCTGGAGTTGTGCTCCCCTCTGGGTACCCCATTTTAAGAGGGACATTTAAGAGCTGGAAGTTCACGGGATCAGAGAGACCGTAGAGGCTAGATATATCTAGCTCTGTTCCATTACTTTATAGATGAGAACACTGAAGCCCAGAAGAGTTAAGTGATTTGTTCAAAGTCACACAGGCAGTATATGCTGTATCAGGCTTTGCAAAGATATTCAAAGGAAAACAAACAAGATGGTTGGGAGGAAACAAAACTATGTCATATAGGACATAATAATTTTAATAGATATATAGGCTATGTGAAAGGCTTCTCTCTCTCTTATTCTCCAGTATTACATCATCAATTCCTGCTGGATATCTCCACTTGGATGTTCAATCGGCATCTCAAATCAATAAAGAGAAAGAGAACTCATTATTTTCCCCCTAAACTAGATCCTTTTTCCAACTTCCCCCTTTTTTTCATTTTTTTTTTATTTTGCTAGGCAATGGGGTTAAGTGACTTGCCCAAGGTCACACAGCTAGTGTTATGTGTCTGAGGCCAGATTTGAACTCAGGTCCCCCTGACTCCAAAGCCAGAGCTCTATCCACTGCACCACCTAGTTGCCCCTTTCCCTTTTTCTTTTGAAGGCACTACCATCTTCCCAGTTCCCTGGTTCATAACCTTGGAATCATTTTCAAATATTCCCTCTCCCTTTCCCCAACCAATCATTTGCCAACTCTTATTAATTCTACCTCTCTACAACATCTCTTGCATCTGTTGCCTTCTTTCCACTCAGACTGAAACCATCCTAATTCAGGTCCTGGCTACTCCTCACCTGAATTATTGTAATGCTCTTCCAAGGTCTCCCTACCTCAAATCTCCACACTGCACACAGTTGCCAGATTGATGTTTTCCAGCACAGTTCTGACCATATCACTCCTCTGCTCAAAAAGCCTCAGCTGCTTCCTATTGCTTTGAGAATGGAATACAAATTCCTATGTTTGGCATTTAAGGCCTGTTATAAGCTAGCTCCAGACTTATTTCCTATTGTCCCCCTACCCACTCTATGTTCTCGCCAATCTGGCCCCACTGGTGAGGCCCATAAAGTATAGTCCATCTCTTGCCTCCAACCCTTTGCAAAGGCTGCCTCCCGTGCCTGTGATGTTCTACCTCTTCATCTCCATCTCTTGGAATCCTAGCTCCTTGCAAGTCTCAGCTTGTGCCAGCTCCTCCACGAGGTCCTCCCTTGAATCCTCTGCTGGTTAGCATTTCTGATCTACCCTCTCCCCACCCCGTCCTGGAAAGACTTTACAGTGTTTTTCACATATTTGTGTTTATTTCTCTGTGCACCTGTTATTTCCCCCCAGAGAATGTAAGCTTATTGCCTGGCAAGGAAGAGGCACCTAAATGCTTGCTGAATTGAGCGGAATAGAAGGAGCAGGAGATTTACTCTGCATGCCTCCACTGGTCCTGAGACCCGTGTCACAGGCATGCAGTCATATCAATACAAAGAGAATCTGAAAACAAGTAGAGCTGTTTGAAACTAGAAGAGTTTGCTTTGTGAAGTAGTGAGTTCCTATCACTGTACTTTTTTTAGTAGAGGCTAGAAGACCTCTAAAATTCCTTTTAATTTTATCATACTGATTCAAGGCTACCACACTGATCTTTTCCAGATAGAGGACAAGAACACAGGAGGCAGAGTTCTGCTGAGGTCAGAGACAGAAACTACTAGGATGTAAAAAAGTTAATATATTTCTAGCTATTTGATCCTGACTACTAAATGGACAATCTTATAGCTAGAAATACAGCACACAGGAATCTCAGCATATCTAGCCCACATTAACAGAGATGGGAGAGAAGAAAAAAAAGAGAATGTCAAAATACTGGATTTAATCCAGTAATCAAATCTAAGGAAAGGAAGCTGTGTGGCATAGTAGAAAGAATGTCAGATCTAGAGCCAAAAGACCTTAGTTCAAAAATTCTGACATCTCTACTTACCATGTGACTTTGGGCACATTGTTTAACTTTTCTGGGCCCTCAGCTTTCTCACCTGTAAAATGATGGGGCAGCACAGATGATCTCTACAGAACCTTTCAGCACGAAATTTATGACCCTGTAGGTTATGGAATAGGAAAAGCAAGACGGAAGCTGAGCAAATACTATACAAATTGGTCAGAT